GATGTGCTATTTGTTGTGGTGAAGAAGCCGCCAGTTCGTCATGTGGAGACTGTTTTAATTGAGGCGGAAAGGAACAAGCCTTAATGACATATTTTACAGATGGGAATGCTTTACATCCATCCATTGTTTTGGTTCACATCAAGATACACTTTATGGCCAAAAGTATGTAAACACACACAAGGAACTTTTGTCACCCTAACAACATTCTGGCTTCTTTTTAAATATTGATTGGTTTGTATAACATTTACACAGTCCAAACTATTGATGGAAAAGGAATAGTTAAGAATAGGTAATAACATAAATACTGGATCATAAAACACAACCAGGACACTGATAATACCTGAACTATTGGTATGAAACCCCTGCATCCCCCTAACCCCTTCCTTAACCCTGGATAACAAGAGTTCTTATGTTCAACATCACACTAATATGTTATAACCAGGATAAACTTGTAACAGGGACAGTAGTTGTCATGTAAACATACTTAATGACAGACTGACCTACGCTGCGGGAACCTCCGGGTCTGAAAAGTGAAGCCAATGCTGAAGAGCCTTAAACCTGCATTCTCTCTAGCAGCCAGCAGGGGGCGGCTCCACTGGCTGCAGAAAGAAGTGTGTCACTGAGAAAATGTTTCTACTTCTCAGCTGATTTATTCCCTCAATAAACACTTTCCAGATGAGTTTGTGGTCTCAGTCGCTAGTTTCAAGTCTTCTTCAACACAGCATGATGTTCATTTAGTAAATTATGGTCCCATTTAGAGGAACAGAGACCAGAAAGCAGGGGAGGCTTTAGGACGGGGCGACCTAGTGACAAGTCGCTACGATGGCGACCTGTCAATCAGGATAGAGGCGACTTGTATCCGCTGCTCTGTGTACATTTAACCAGCCGTGAACTTGTTTTTGGGCGCTGTTGGTGTTTTCGTGTCAGAGCTTTCACCCTCTCACAGTGTGTTTTCACTTAATGAAAGTGCTTTTCAACATTTTGGTCTACGAGATAGTTACACGGTTAAATTAATTGTTTCCAAAGCTACAATGCAGTACCATCAAATCTCCATTCTCCTTTCTTTTCTTTTCTTTCTTTCTGTTGCTGTGTCTTGTAATCTTCCAAGCTAACACTCCGAAGCCAAAGAAACTTAAATGATGACAACCGTCTTGGCAGGACTGACATGCAAGTTGCCTCTTATCTGTCCATCTGTCTTTGTTACCCAGATAGATCCCTGTCGTCCAGATGGTAAGCGGTGCAGATTTTTGCAGTTCACCCTAAAAACACCAGACCACTGAGTCACATCTGATTGGAAGAAATCTGCATGAACCCTTCAGGTGCAGTGTGAATAAATCTTTACCTGCTCAATGTGAGCATGGAAAGAACTAAAAAATCTAAATCTAACCAAACGCCCATGAGGCTGCCGTCAGTGGAGCCGAGCGGTTACAGATGGGATTTCCATATCTTTACTCACATGTTCATTTAAAGGGGATCAGCTGCTGGTGCGGTTTTTCATTCCGGCCATCTGGCTGCGATTATGTTCCGCACTGTTGAACTCAGGCCTCACCGGCACATCACTGAACAGCTGCCTGACAGCGCAGCGCCGGGTCGCATCACTCTTTCCAACAGATGTGCATCCACTGCAGACTTTTGGACTTTGAGTGAAGCTTTGCTGGAAGATGAAGGTGAAGAGAAGAAACAGCTCCCTGTTTGGTTAAACTCGTCTGACCAGTTTAACTTTACACAGAGTCACTGAGTCAGCTGTGACGTCGGGAGGATATATCCACACAACTGAAGTTAGACGTCAGACGAAAAGTCAACACACTGTACAGATAGATCACAATGAAAAACAATTTAATAGAGAATTCTAAAGTGTCATACCTTTGGAGTTTCTTTTGCTACCAAGCTAACTAGCAGAACTAGAAAACTATAGCCAAACCAGACTTATAGAGATGCAAGAGACAGATTAAACTAAACACAAAAAAATACTTAGTTACTTTAATCTTGTGTTCCTTTAATTATATCTGCACATTGGTCTGCAGGGATAGAGCATGCTAATACATTAGCTAGACTATAACCTAGAAAACAAACAAATAATATCTCATCTAGAAGAATTTGAACAGAAGCCACTATCAGAGGCAGTGACATAAAGTTTATTTTAGGGCAACAGCCAAATAAAAGCTTGTCAGTATGTTTGGACTTGGAGGGTTGTGATCAAACCCGTATATTTCGAGAGATTTCAGTGGGTTTGTAGTATGCGGCGTTTAATGTGCACAGCTGTATACAGTACAACACTAAAGGACTTGCTCTCTGCTTGGATATTACCGAGATGTCCAATGCTGAATAACTCAAATGCTTCACATAGTTGTGGTTGTTCGCTCGGCAGGAGAGGCAAGAAAACAGTCGGACAGATAAACAGGCTGACGATCAGGCAGAAAACTCTGCAGCAGCTCTCCATTACTGAACTGAACTAAGAGCTCCTTTTAAAACCTCTGTGTTAGATCTGCAGTGAGCGGCAGACTGACATCGATGGTACATTTGATCCTGCCTGAGGTTGAGGGATATGTACTGTGAGAGAGGCAGCAGCCAACACTGTTAGAAACACAGATGCAAGGGTGACCTTTTCAAGAAAACAAACATTTCTTTCCTGTCTTATAAACTTAAAGTCACTTTATTGCTGCACAAAGGGTGCGAATTACACAGTGACAACCAGGGGGGTCAACTTTTTTTCCAGATCCAAAAGAAAACCCAGTACAATCTTATAATGCTTACAATATCCTTGCTTATTTAACTAATGTCATCATTCTGTAGATGATGATAAATCAAATTCATTACACCAGTTCATGGGTGACCCATACCACAAGACAACTTTGTAGTCAGAGGTCACCAAGTATTCTAGAGCGAAACTTCCTCTTGCTCATGTTGACAGTGAATGATGTAATCTGCATCCAGTAAAGCTGTAGTCAGACACCGTTGTTGGGGAATTGGGAATTCCAGAGTTAAAACAAACGCCATGTTTATTTTGAAAGGACTCACAAAAGACTTCAAATTAATAATAAACTCTATATTAATGTAAAAATGTATCTCTGCAATAACTAATCCCATATTTCACTGTTTATGCCTGAGCACCAGTGTTAGCTGACAATTACATAAAATATGAAATTACATAGTTATAATGAAATGATAGGGCGGGCTCTCAGCTAGCTATCATCAGATAGCTCATTTTAAGTAAAAGAAATGCTAATTACGAATCTCTGAAGGTAGGAAAGTTAAGTGTATTAAAGCAGCTAGATAGAACTACTGAAATTAACCTGCTTCGTCTGCATTAGCGTGTGACGCACCGGACCGGAGTGATGCAGACAGACAAGATGTTCAACTAAAGTCGATGTTAGGAAATGGTACGGTGCATTTTGGGGGTGTCTTGAATATAAGGCATGAGTACGGGAAATATATTGTAATATTTACAAATATTACGGTGGGGGTCAGACCCCCCCAATCCCCCCGTAATTCCAACCATGGCTTCACAGTCATTTCAAGGTGTTTATTTTATGCTTTCATTACAGAGTTAACATTAGAGAGATTACAGGAGGGGAGAAGTATTCAGATCCTTTACTCAAGTAAAAGTGGTAATACCACACTAAAAAAAATACTTCATTACAAGTAAAAGTCCTGCTTCAAAATCCCAGTATTATCAGCTAAATGTACTTAAGAATTATAAAAAAAAAAAAAAAAATAAATATAGGTTGTAATAAGCTGCTGCATAATTGAGAGTTAGATCAAACTGGTGTCTGCCAAGCAGCATGACCAGCATCTCAGTGTTATCTTAAAATGTTAAATGAAATTACATGACATTCTGATTTCACAGCAGATAAACAGGCCTCTAGATCATCACTAATGTATATTGTTCCATCAAGAGCCTCCAGGACAGCTTCAATACTCAAGGAACTCTACTTGAGGGATAACCACCTCTCTTCCTAAAGATATTGATGGTGATGTTGGAAGTCTACTTTCGGTGTTCAGCTGGATTCAGGTAAGGCCACATCATTTTCCATCCTCATTAAAAGCACTCCATGTCACCTGATCCCCGGTGTGGAAGTGAGATGTTTCTCCATGAAGGTCCCACAGTGAACCATTATTCTGTCAGTGTGCAGTGAAGGCCACAGCAGGAGCAGCATCAAGCTCACCACAGTGGTATATTACACATTACCAGTTGGGCTTCAAACTAAAAGCTTCAGATTTCTCATGTTTTTTATTTGCCTCTCCCGGCAGCTATGGTATCAATTAGATTATTAGATAGGCTAGTAATACAGTATATTTTAAAAATCCCACAGCTCTTTAAAATCCAGTGAAACAAGACAATATTGCATCAATATTGTAAAAAAAGGGTTAGATGTCGAAAGAACAATTGCAAAAACATACCTTATTTGCTTTTTTAAATTTATACGAAAAAGATTTTTAAAGCTGCACTCATTCTTTGTTTATTTTTAATATACCTCAAATGACAAATAACATCCACTGAGCACAGAGAGAACATTGTTTAATGTGTTATACATTTTTGATATTATTGTTTTATTATCTATGCAAATTTTGCATGGGAGCCCTGCACGCAGTATTTTAATGATTGATTTATTTGATCAAGTATATTTTATTTATGTTATTTTATTCTATTTTATTTATTCATTTTTAACTTGCTTTATTGCTACTGCATACCTTTAGTATAATGGTATAAATATATTTTATTAATTATTAAATTGATCGTATACTATGTTTAACAATCCATTAAAATGTAATTACTGTATCTGATATTTGAATAAGAATTAAAATAGTTATTTATTAATTTATATTTTACTTGCTTACTTGCTACTGGAGTATCCTACCCTTGGTGTAATAATAAATATATTATTTTATTAATTATTATATTATAAAGCTCTGGAAATAAATTAGTGAGTATAATATATAGCTTTTATTTTGAAGTGTTTGACCGGAAGTGGTGTTTACGGCAGTGTGTGTGCGCGCGCGCGTGTGTGCATAGCTCGGTGAGAGTCGAGGTCGAGGCGGCCGCGGGGACGATGGCGGCCGCAGAGTAGAACCAAACAAACGGACAAATGGCGCGTCTCTCCTCCTCCATGTTCTTCTCCTCCTTCTTCCTTCCCTCCCGCTGACCGTCCGCAGCTCCGCTCCTCCCGGTCTCACCGTCGACACCTATGCCGCAGAGGAGACCCCGGACGGGACTAGCTACATGTGGTGAGTGACAGACGAGCACCGACAGAAACTTGTCTCCGTGTTGCCCCACCGGGGGAGCCGTTTGTCCGTTAACGAGCCCCCGGACAGCGTGGGCTGTTTGTAGTGTCACTTATTTAAACGGTTCATGATTACAAAGAGTCCGGTTTTCATGTCAAAATGTAACCAGGAAAACCGCTTTTTCTCCCGGTCATGTGTGGAGGCTGTGGCCGGGGGGCGGGTGCCTGGTGCCCGGGGCAGGTGACGGGGAGCAGCCGGTGGCCCAGAGGTCCCGGGGGGTCTGGAAACCAGCTGCTGCGTTTACAGCAGAATTACACACACTAGAGTGAACTGATCATCAGTAAAACATAGCTTTTAAATGACACTAATGCTGTCTTCATTTAAAGTGAGTTTTTCATACTTTATTTTCTTGTGTAAATTATCCTTAATGTTCCCTTTTGGTATTCAACATTTAGTCATCTTAATGATAATCATATTTTTATTATTTATAGAATAAAGTAGGGCTGCAAAACACTGACTTTCCCCTTTGTGGGATTAATGAAGTGTTAGCCTTCTTAATATTTTAAGTATTGATTGGAACAGACTGATACCTGAATGTTGAGGCAGATTCAGACTTGAGCTGGTATCAAATAACAGAAAAGTGGTGGACAGTAACTAAGTACATTTACTCAAGTACAAATGAAAGGTATTTGTACTTTAGTATTTTCTTTTTATGCCACTTTCTACTTCTACTCCACCACATCTCAGAGGGAGATATTGTACTTTTACTTAACTACATTACTACAAAGTAACTGACAGCTTCAGTTACTTTGCAAAGTCAGATTTTTTACGCACAAAACATATGAACAGTTTAAATACATACATACTTACATACTTTTACTATGGTAACCTTTTCAATGCAGAACTTTTACTTGTAACAGAGTATTTTTACAGTGAGGTATTAGTACTTTTACAGAAGTAAATGATCTGAATACTTCGTCCACTTCTGATAACAACTATAAACAGCCTTTAAACCATCCTAAGTATAATAATCTGTATTAAACTATAATCATCATTAAATTAAGTAATGTGTGGTGTGACCAAGCCTGTATTATTTATCAATGGATCAATCAGTTGTCGGTGACATTTGTCAGTCCTGTACTGCACCGTGTTGTTAATATACAGCTAAAATCAGCCAATAATATCAAATGACCATATTAATATATATTATTACATATTAATCTATTGTTGACCTTTTTAAATGAATTAGCAATCTGTTTATTCTATAAGTGGCCAAAATAAATGATAAGTGCAAGAAGAGGAGAAGTAAAACAGATGTGCAGTAGTGACACGACGACGGCGTGTAAAAGAGTTGTGTTTACACTGGTTGGTGGTGACATATCAGCAGCGTGGAGGGTCAAAGGTCAGCACACTGTATGTTTCCTGGTGTGGAGTCAAGGTTTAAAGGGAAGAATGTGGTCGAGCAGCAGTTTAAAAAGAGCAGCAGGCGGAGTTGCCGAGCGTTACAGCCGACTGACAGGCGTTCACCCGCCCTCAGTACAATCAGCACTTTGTGTGTGTGTGTTACATAAGGCTTCGACATTGGACTCACACACCCTGCATGAAGCCGGTCACACTCTTAATACAAGAGCTGACTGACTGAGGGGTCAAGAACATTAAAAAAATAAAAGCCAACACCTGATGTAAACATCATCATGCGATTAATTGTGATAAAAAATTGTAATCGTTGCCCGGCACTAATTATTACATTATTATGAAAGTAAATGCAATGACTCCATGCACAATGACATGAAAAAAATTAGTCTTAAGTAGAGCTGCAACGATTAGACAAAATGATTAGATTGATGACTATTTTGATATCGATTAATTGTTTCAGTTATTTGTTTTAACTTATGACTTTGTGACTCTGTGATGAGCATTTTGCACAATTTCTTGACTTTTTATAAACTAAAGGCAGATTATTTGATAATGAAAATAATCGTTAGTTGCAGCCCTAGCCTTAAGAAGACTAAGTAACTTTACAACTAATTTGCTGACTGCCGGATTTTAAATCAACATGATATGTTGCTCTCCGTTGAGACCCACAACTTTCTGTAGGCCTCGAACACAAACACAAAACTTCCCTTAAGTTCAGGTCCACGATATGTTCTGTAACATCAGACTGAAAAGTTTAGGGACAAAAATGACAGCTGACTCAGAGAGATAACCTGATCACAGGTCCAGTTTGAAATGGAAGCAAAAACATGCAAATTTTTTGTTTGCGCTTCACCTTTAAGATAAAGTGACTGCTGACGGACGAATTGTACACGATGGGGCAGAATCCTGCAGCGTGCAGAGGAGGCGGCGGCAGCTGCTGCTGCAAACACACAGGATTTATTTTCTGTGAGAAAAGTCCACCTTCACTTCCTGGAGTCTTTCCCCTTAAACACAGAGATCAGTCGCCAGCAGCAGCAGTGATAAGAAAACAGCCATCGAGTCTTTATTTTATAGATTTATAAGTAATAACACTCACAAACAAAACCTTCACAATGCAAAGACAGGAGAGCGCGCAGACGCTGATTAGTTTGTTTTAATATTTAGCTGACATGCAATGAATCAGAAAAGAGTTGCGTGCTAAAGCCAGACCTATAAATTATAGATTAATCTTAAAACAAAGAAAAGACCTCTTTTTCACTCTGAGTGCTGCAAATAAAAGCTTCACCTGAAACAGGTCAGTCGACTCAGCAGAAACATGTTCCTGCATGTCAGGCTGAGCGGCGGCTGTTAGTCAGGTCGACAAATAGACAGTTTAATAGATACCTGAGTTACTGCACCGATACCAAAGCAACACTTTACATTGAGGAATATAAACTTTTTAAATCATTTAGCAAAAGGAAACACAATACTCAAATGTCAATGTTACATTTGAACCTCAGCCAGCTGATCCAGAGTCAGCCTTTGCTGCGAGACTCAGTTTTGGTTTATGGATTCAGGAGTTTTGGTCAGAGGTAAATAGAAACACAGACACGGAGAGCATCCTCCCCCCACGTCTCTCTCTCTGTCTCTCTCTCTCCCTCTGTCTGTTCCTGTGTCTCTCACCCCGTAACCTCTTCACCTCGTCCTCTCTGGGTGTCTCAGCAGATGGGGCCTCCAAAGGGGCCCCTCATGAGTTCAGAGTAGCTGATGAATAATCATATACGGAGTGTGTGTGTGTGTATGTGTGTGTGTGTGCGCTGCTTAATTCAGTCTCTGTCAGCACTTTCAGATGCCTGTTGGCTGAGTAATCGAGAGGTCACAGGATCAAGTCCCCGCCACCACAAACGTCCACCCCGACATCTGCTTCAATCAGCACTCCATCACACATGCACCATCACAAATACACGCCTAAACCAGAGGTGGAAAGCAACTAAGTATGTTTACCTAAGTACTGCACTTCAAGTACACAGTTCATGCTGCTTTACTTCCAATACATCTCAGAGAGAAATATTTTACTTTTTACCGCACTACATTGATCCCACAGCTTGAGCTTTGTTGCAGATTTAAGATTAAACTATCCAACAGTGTATAAAGTATTTAAAATGTGCACCACCTCCACCAGCTGTAACGTTAAAATGCTGCTTATGCACAATAAAATAACTCCTAGTTTTACTTTAAGTACATTTTGCTATTAATGCTTTTGTACTTTTACTTGAGTGAAATCCTGAATGAGTATTTCTACAGAGCGGTATTGCTACCCGACCCTTTAGCTCTCCATATGCTTCAAAATGAGTATCTTAAAGTTTTGGCTGTGGTGAAAGAAGTAGTATTCGGATCATTTACAGAAGTAAAAGAAAAAACACTATTAAACACTCCACAAGTCAAAGAGGTTTACTTAAGTAAAAGTACACAAGAATTGGAATCAAAGTGTAAAAGTATCAAAAGCAGGACTTTAGTGTTGTAATACATTATATTTTATAAACTGACCGTGTATTTTGCTTCAAGTAAATACTGGATCTTCTACGTAACGAGTAACTAAAGCTGTCAGACAAACTTAGTGCAATAGAAGTGTAAAGCTGCATGACATTAAACTACTCAAGTATAAAGTACAAGTACAAGACAGTCCTTGAATAAATGTACTTAGTAGGGCTGAATGATTTTGGAAAATAATCTGATTGCGTTTTATTTTTTTTTAACCAAATGCAATTTAATATGCGATTAATTTTTAAGCTCTTTACCTTCTATATTATTGAAAACGGACAAGCAGTAAATCTAGTAAATATATAAATATAGTACGACCACATAGTATTAGATAAATATACACTGTTTCTTGTGGGTCAGGCCTGTGTTATGATGAAATCAGGTGATGAGCAATGGTGGAGAAGAAATATCAAATTCTAATAATATGAGATAATTTGAGAGTCAAGTCAGGGCATTAAATAATATGATATAATCTCATCAGGTCGGCCTACAGACCACAAGAAAAACTAAGCAAGTGACGCCTCTCATGTTTCATAGACAAGCTCAGTAACTGTCCAACAACTCTGGCCTGCACTTTATTGACATGTTGTTAATATGTAAGTTTGTGTGTTTCAACTACAGATAACTGTTTCTCAATCTGCGTTCTTGTGTGTACTTGTGTTCTTGTGAAACGTCATCAGTCGCAGCCAAAGTACTGTTCCAATTCAAAAATCCGCATCTAGCCAAGTACAATCAAATACCTGGATGTGTTCTCGCTTCGCCCGTTTTACCGAGCCTGCATCAGTGGTGACTTGTGTGGACTTCGGATGGCCAGATATCCCAGGATGCATTTTGCCGCCAAAATATGTCTGAGGAGGAAACTCTCAATTGTTACTTATAAATACTGCTGTTCTTGTGTCACATAGTTTTTTAAACTCCAAATATGTGGTGGATTTCTCAAGACGGAGCTGATTTAAAAAATTGCTATGACATTTTCGGAGATGTGAGGTCCCGCCTGCTAACGGGTCCGGCCGTCATCAAGTCCGCTGCTGTTCCAGTTGCTGAATGATGGACTGCGTGCTCCCGTTCCTGGGAGTTTGTACTCCCGAGCCGAACTTGCCAAGTCCAAGCTTTAAAGCACAGAAGTCCGAACTTGGCGAACTCAGTTTTAAGAAACAGTTGTCAGTGAGCCCGTCCCGTTCTGCTCTGTGCAGGCTGCACAGCCGACCTGAAGCATGTCACAATAAGAGCGTTTTGTGTGTTTTATGGGAGCATGCACAGGGTGTTTCATTTTGAAATTCAACATCGTGACGTCACCCGTTGGTTTGTGGACTGCCGTTTTGAAGCCTCGAGTTTGGCCGATAGGACGCCACCATATCAAGATTTTGCAACCAGGAAATGCCCGGAAGTGACGATACGGCGGAGCTAGCTAGCTTGCTTAGCTAGGTGCAACTGTAACTGTCATTTTAACAGGGCTGATATCTTCAACAGTCTTAAAACTAAATGTACTCACCAGAGAAAGTGAACAGCCGACTCCTAATAAGCTTTTTCAACGGTGCTGGTGATAAATTTACACAGTGCTGTGGATACGAGTCACTCTAGCCTGATGACAGGTCGCCATGGTATCAATCATAGATAATCCCGCCCTGAAACATACTCTGCTTTGTGGTCTATTTTAAAATAAATGGGACCATAATTTACTAAATGAACATCATTTTGTTTTGAAGAAGACATGAAACTAGCGACTGAGACCATAAACTCATCAGGTTAGTGTTTACTGGGGTAATTATTCAGCTGAGAAATAGGGTCATTTTCCCTTTATTTCTAACGGAGCCGGACTAAGAGTCGCCCTGCTGGATTTTCAATAGAATGCAGGTTTCAGGGACTTCCGCATCGGCTTCATATTGTAGACTGGATGCTACCTGCTTGCAAACAACACTTCCTGCCTGGTTCATCTGCTCTGTGCTGCTTGATGCTGCTTCCGTCAAAAATAGACTGGCAGTGAATCTCAATCGCAATATCTGGCAGAAAAACCACAATTAGATTTTTTCCCAAAATCATTTAGCCCTATACTCTACTATACGTTACTCTACTACTTTAACAACATTTCAGTCTTCAGACCATTAGATGAAGTTGTTGTACCTGATGCAGGACTGAGACTTTGTAGATGACGCTCAGTGTGCAGTAGTGTTGTAGTCAAGGCCACCCAGACCAAGACCAGAGTTTGTCGAGACCAAGACTTTTAGGGGCTGAGATCTAGACCGAGGGAGTACAAGACCGAGTCATAACCAAGACCAGAGTTTATCGAGACCGAGACGAGACCAAGACCATCAAAAAGTGGTCTTAAGACCGGTATTGAGTACTTTTCGAGTTCTGAATCTTTAAGACTTTGTAGTTCTGAGTCCACGTGATGTTTATTCCCCGACCCACCTGTGAAGCACTGAAGTGAACTTCTTTATTATAAGATAGAAAACAAACATCTTGTGGGACTCTGCAGAGCCACAAATCAAAGGGGGATTTTAGGAGCACCGGCTGGTCACCGGGCTGGTGAAGGTGTGTGGTCGTCGGGACAGAAGACGCCTATTTCCTGTGTTTTGTTGTTCAGTGAGTCAGAAGGTGTTGGGACTCCCACCCAATCAGCTGACTGCGGCTCACACGGGGAGAAGGTCAGCTGACTGATAAAACCCACGCACACACACATTTATTCATCAGTTTGTGAGGAAGTTGTTCAGCTTCCAGAAAACCTATGACTAGACCATCAACGTTACGAGTCACCGTTGTGTAACTCGCTGCTCGTTTACTTTCCGTCTGTTTTCAGCTTCATGTTTCCTTCACGCACCGACAGCTGCTCAGGCTGCTGGTTTGAGGCTGTTTGCTCAAAGGCACGTCTGCAGCAGCAGTTTCCCCATCACATTTCCCCTGTAAATTTGGGGGTTTCAAACCAGTGACTCTCTTGTCACGTGATCTTTAGGCAACATCTTTCATTTTCAGTTTTTATTCAGAGGTTTGCTCTGGTTGAAACTTCAGATCTTCCCTCGGTTCCTCGGATCTTTGTTGCTCTGGACAACATTTTAGCTATTGTACATTTTGTTTCTGAAAGCGGGGGGGCACCTGTTGGTACCATCTGTAAGTAAGGCTCGATGTTTTTATATTTTTCCTGCTGCAAAGTTCACAGTAAACACAGCCCTCTGGATGTTACTTTATTTTATCTATTTTCATCCAGACTTTTGATGGATTTGTATTGTTTTGAACTTTCCTCAGTTTCTAGAAAGTTGTTTTTTTTGCTTCTATTTTGTTGTATTTTTTTCATCAATTTTGTGTTTTATGCTGTAATCCCGGTTTACTCCAGCGTAGTTTGCTGTGATTTAACTGCTGTGAAAGGATGTGAAATAACTACAACGTGATACCGATTTGTTAAACAGATGATTTCATGCTTTGTCAGGTCTGTCAGCAAGACAGCAGGACAACAACTTTTAAAATACTTGTTTTCTGAATGGAGTTTGGATCAATCAGACCTACGCTATGCTAACGTGTTCCCAGTAAAGTACAACGACAGCTGGAATCAAGTAACAGCTAAACAGGCTTTCACTCTTCTGAGCACAATGACCATAAAGATCTAATCTGAGGTAAAATAATCATAGCTCAAGATCACTTGCCAGTTTTCTCCAGAGCCTGGGTCTGAAATTGAGTTTTTTACTCACCTGTTTACTGAAAAAGTGTAGACACGAGCCAGTGGTATCTGACAGTAGAAATATGTATCATTCTTAATTTATAATAATGTTTATTAATATAAGAAAAATCTATGTGCCATGGTGGCGGGTGAGCTGAAATGTTTGCCTGCTGCAGTATTAACCCTTTTTCCCCCACATTGCATCCACACGTTTAAGTTTTTAAAACGCAGCTACGTTTACACCTGCCGTCCACACTAAAACGGAGAAGTTTAAAAAAAACGCTGTGGGCTAGCATGTTAGTGTAGACAGGCGAAAAAGGACAAGTTTAAAAACAATGATGGGCTCCTATCACATGACCCTCTCTGGATTAAAACATCAGCCTGGACTACCAGCAGCGAATGCAACATGGATAACGAATTATAAGCGTTACTTACCTTGATGTGTTTGTCAGCAGCTCTTCATTCGCCGCATCTTCTGCAACTGCGGAGTAGACAATCTGCCTCCCGTTTACACCAGCATGCGCATGCCCAGCGTACGTGAATGGTCACGTGATGTGTGTCGTCTAAGTACAGAGATCAAGTCTGATAGGCAGCTAAAATGCTGCTGTGGACAGTGATCATTTTCAAACAGTCTCCATTCACACTACTCCTTCTGATCTCTCTGCAGAACATTTAGCTAAAGAAGGAAGAACTACTATAAATGAACGAGAAATAGCGAGGGTGAGGAACCACGACAGAGATTTTTTTGCATGGACCAACTGTGGCTGTGGAAAACGGACTGGGAGCCGCTGCAAAGCAAATACGGCGACATGCACAGTACAAGTATATAAGGGTTACTTGCACAGTACAAAATAATTTAATAAAAACACCAAAACTAAAACTGTCAGCAGCATCGTGCTTCTGCTTTGCATGACTGATAAGAGCCAATCAGGAAGCCAAACGTCTGCGTCATCGTTTTTAAAGTCCTCTGTTTTCACCTGTCCGCACTAACACGCTACGCCGGAGTTTAAGACACAAAAGCTTCTCAGTTTTAGGTCTTCGGATTCGTCCGGAAGGCAGCCATAATGTAGTAAAAGCTCTGCGTTTTAAAGCGATAGTGTAGGGGTGGAGCCTATTGTTGTGATCCTCCAGTTTTCTTGCGTGGGATCAACAAAGTTCATCTTCACTCTTGAACAATCAATTCTTGTCTGAGAGGTTGTTGCTGTCCAGGTTTCTCTGAGCTCTTTCTGTCTCTGCTCCACAGATTTATGTTGGGTAACGGGGTGAAGCGGAAACTGGATGACGATGAGGACGGTTTGGAGGAAGGGCGGCGTCCTCTGGCAGTCGACGGCATGTCTCAGGCGTCCTACACCCTGCAGCGTCAGACGGTCCTCAACATGTCCTTCATGAAGCTGTACAGTCCGCGCGTGGGCGCCGACCTCGGCCTTCAGCGCCGAGTCCTCATCAACAATGTCATCCGCCACATCCATGACGACCTCAGGCAGGAAGGCGGCGCCGGCGCTCTCTTCTTCTCTGCTTCACTGCCTGTCACTGCCGCCGCCCGTAAGGATGAAAGCTACGGTCAGTCGCCGCCTCCACCCTCCTCCTTCAGCATCCTCTCCTCATCACAGCCGGGACTGACGGCGCTGGACTCCTGCCTGACCCCTGCCTCACTGCTGGAGGAGGACCTGCCCATGTTCTTCACCCTGCCGCCCTCCTCCTCCACGCAACACCACTCCCTGAGGCCGGCGCCCAAAGACAGCTTCTCCTCAGCCCTGGAGGAGATCGAGGAGCTCTGTCCTTCCTCTTCGTCTTCCTCCTCCAGCCCACCTTCGCAGCCTCCTGCTCGGGTTCTGTTTGATGTTGTCATGAAGGAGGAGCGGCGAGGCTTTCAGGAGGTGGAGAGCCGGTTGGAGAAAGCCCCTCCCTCGCCGTCCTGCCCGGGCTCCTTCCTGACTGACTTCACGCTGGACGATGTCCTCTTCACAGACATTGACACTTCCATGTACGACCTCGGGCCCTGCCTGCCCCCTTTAGGAGCGCCGCCATCCAAGATAGCTGACGACCTTGTCCGGTCGATGTCAGGGGCCGGAGCTCAGAACCAGCCTTTTAATAAACTGGACCTGGCCGAGCTGGACCACATCATGGAGGTGCTGGTGGGCAGCTGAGAGGAGAGTTTTTATAACTTTTTGTTAATTTTGTACAGTTTTAAAGTTACGTCGTCACGCCGGCCTTATTCTGGAGGAGTCAAGCTGCTGTGTGTGAGGTTTTTACATCAATGAATTCTGAGACATTAATTTCCTTTCAAAAGCTTTTATTTTATGCTTTGGATGGAGATCCAAACAGGCCCTCTGTAGAGAGTTTCAGAGATGGCAGGTGGTTCTGGTAATGAAATGAAATGAGGAGAGGCAGGAAACACTGTGTAAAGGCCTGGTCACGCCACCACAAGTGGCCCAGAGAAAGTCAACTCTGGCCATCATGGTAGCACGAGTCAGTTACAGAAGCTTTAGAACAAACACAGCATCTGAGTTTAAAGTATTGGAAGCATGATGAAGATCCACCAGCAGTCTGTCTTCCAGCAAACTCCGGGATTAAATAACGCCAGCGTGAAGCACCGTCCGGTTTTTTATCGCTGCCCGATAATTGTAAGAAACAAAATATCTCCAGAGACGTTTTATTTTTACTGTCTGTGCATGAGTATTCATGAAAAAGTAAAACAATCCAGTGCCTTAATCTGTCACGAACGCTGAAGGACGTTTTATTCCAAAATGCAGTTAAATTACTTTAAATTCATCATGTAATGTCTTTTAAAAGTGGAATTTATTTTGTCAGCAAAGAATGTGGAAATCTTTTAAAAAAGTTACACAACGTGTAAATGTCGAGCTGTTGGCCCGTGGGCGTCAGTTCGTAGTGCACTGGGGGAAGCCCCGTAGTGTCACTTTTAAACGGTAAATGTAGGTGTAGGATATTTAACTGAAAAGTCAGAGTAAGGACGTGGATGGGGATGACGGGGGCCACAAACCGGACTTTGAACCAGGAGACCGGTGTTAGTTTCCCGTGTGAAAGAAAAAGTCAACATTAAATGGTTTTATTTATGTTACATAAGTTAACTGATGTACTTAACATAGTTATTTTAACCTAAACCCTGATTCTGATCCTTTCCTAAACCAAGCCAAATTGTGATGTTTCACAACGTTAACAAGTACTTTTATTTTGAAAGTCTAACTGGATGTTGCATATTTATTGTTGCCAACTTGATCGTGGAGCCCTAAACATGGAATGACTTTAAAGCAGTGGCTGGCAGTAGAGTTAAGATGGGGAACAGGTTGATTTTGCTGTAAAGTAAAATATGAGTCTGCTGTGAAGATTTTCACAGATCTCCTGAAAAGACCAAAGACAACAACGTGTTGGCCTGCCAGGATTCACAGGAAGGATCAAATCATTTGTTTGTTTTAGGGTTTTTTTGTTGGGTTTGATAAAAAGAAAAAGAAATAATATCACCAGACTTTGTTTCAAACTAAATTTGGCAGTTTTCTCTGTTGAGAAATCACAGCAAACGTCTCTAGCGTGTTACAGTATCCTCAGCAATTGACACTTTGTCGTCGTCGGTACAGTTTGTCCCGGTTGTCGGGTGAAAACCAATTTATAAATCAGTAATAAAGCTTCCATCTAAAACAACACGTTACTGGCTGAGAGAACATGGATGTACAGGTGCATCTCGTGGAAAAGTTCATTTTCTTCGGTGTGTTTAGTTTAAAAAAAAGATTCATTACACATAAAGTGAAATATTTTAAGCAATTTTTTTGTTTTAATCTAGATGATTACGGCTTACAGCTCATGGAAATCAAAGCTCCAGTATTTTAAAATGTACGACAGTGTTAGAATAAAGATTTTATAATAAAGAAATGTCAACCTGAGAGGAGCTCTAATCAGCTGATTAACACCTGCAAAGGTTTCCTGAGTCTTTCATCTCTCTGTCTGGTTCTGGTGCTCACAATTAACTTTTCCATGATATTCAAATTCTTTGGGATGCACCTGTAGTGTATTTTACTCTCTAAATATCCGATTTGGTCAACAGTCGTCCGCTAACGAACACAGTGTGGACCTCCTTTAGCTTCGGTCTAATTTTAACTTTGCAGAACTCACTTTAAACTCTGTTTTAACTTGACCAATCAAATCTCACCAAAATAAAAGAGCGGTAAGTAACTGCAACCGGGCGTAGGCTACAAACCTCACATCTGGTAAAAAGGAATCATTTAACTACGTGTTTAAAGGAGGTACCGTGTTTTTATTTTTTTACACCAACAGCGGCATTAATACGAACTTTGAAATGCAGTCGTCGTCTTTTATTAGCCGGCCCAGAACACACGACTGTGAATTATTTATTATCTCTCAGCTCCAGTGTATATTTATTGTTAAAACTAATGTTTGTACGTAACATAACATGTATTCTGTTTAGAATCCACCAAAACTGACGTCTGACGAAATCTGACAGAAGGTCAACTCTGGGGGTTTGGGTGAAATGTCTTCTATGGAATTTACCGTCATTTAATGAATGAATTTTCCACACTATGTAATGTATATATTTTAGGATTTCATCAATGCAAACCGCCTGAGTTCAACCACAGCTCTTGTGTGTGTTTGAGATGAGTGGGTAAACACTGGGACAGTTTTACTTAAAATTTTAATCTAAAACACTATTTTTGTTTTTAAACGTTTGAACTTGTTTCTGATTTATATGTTTGTTTCCACCTGGTATTAACTTGCAGTCTGTATATCTTGGTGTGTGATCCGGATTTAAAAAAAACTCCTGTTAAAGGTGTAAAAGCACCTAGAACACATTTAGAGTTACTTAAAATGGTGTTTATGGATCAGATTGATCAGATGGGATCGATCCTGATACGTCTCCACCTGCTGGACTGATGATGTAGCAGCAGGTTGTTACACCAGTAAGAAGAACTGGGTCCCAGTAATTGTATACAGTATGTACTCTGTCTTTATATATTATATATTTTTTATAAATCTTCATATGTGTGTCTTTATAATAAACTGGTGTTACAGTTGGTACAAGTCTTCATGCTTTACTGGTTACAGAAAATCTTCCAATATGCAGTCAAGACGTCAAACAAACTGACAGAAACAATTTAACCTGAACAGAAAATATTTTGTTTTAGGATTTAATACTTTTGTTTTCTAAGATCTGAGACACTTGGATTCAGAAAGTTGAATTAATATCACTTTTCGAGTGTGAGCGCTCTGTAGACTGGTATGTAGTACAGAACTGGAACACGGTGACGTCTTCATTTAGTTTATTTATTCATAAAACAAACGGTACATATTCTTTTATGTATAATAAAATATTTGATATCTACATTTAAAACAGTGATTTTAAATTTACTGTAAACTCAACAAAAGGTAACTGTATCCATGCATCCATCCATCTTAATCTTAATGCTTATCTGGGGTCGGATCGTGGGGGCAGCATCTCCAGCAGGGGACCCCAAACTTCTCTTTCCCGAGTCACCAGCTCTGACTGGGAGGCGTTCCCAGGCCAGTGTGGAGATATAATCTCTCCACCTAGTCCTGGGTCTTCCCCGTGGCTGCCTCCGAGCTGGACGTGCCTGAAGACAGCCCCTCCACACCCAAAGCTTTTAGCATCACTGGGTGGATCTCATCAACCCCTGGGGCTTTGCCACTGTGGAGTAGTTTGACTACCTCAGTGACTTCCACCAGGGAAATTGATGAGAAACCCCCATCAGCCTCCAGCTCTGCCTCTACTAGAGAGAGCGTCAGTCGGATTTAGCAGATCCTCAAAATGTTCCTTCCACCGCCCAATTACCTCCTCAGTTGATGTCAACAGAGTCCCATCCTTACTGTACACAGCTTGGATGGTTCCCTGCTTCCCCCTCCGGAGGTGGCGGACAGTTCTCCAGAAGCACTTTGGTGCCGACCCAAAGTTCTTCTCCGAACTTCTGCCACACCCGCCGCTTTGCATCTGCCACAGCAGAGGCTGCAGTTGAGTATGCTGTTTATCACAGTAAAACAAAGTAGAGAATCAAACTTTGGATGAACTCGAGGCTGAGAAGAGGCAATAGAGCAGATACACAACACGCTGGGGACGCTTCCCACTCAGCTCGCTCTCATTGGCTGCTGCGGGTTTCTGATCGGAGGCTCCCCGATTTCAAATCATAAATATTAGGGAGTCTCCGATTATTTCTGTAAACGCCTGACACTACGAGATCATTTGGGAATCTAATCTGTGTGTCTAGTAAGCGGCCAGCATCTTTCTACTTCTTACTTTAAATGTTATATATTAGTAGTACATAGTGAATATGATTAAATGTATCATTTAAAGATAGAATAATTGAATAGTTTTTTAAACTGGTCAATATACTTGAATCTAATTTAACATTTTTTGAAGTCAATTCTTTTCACATGGCACACTTCATCCTCCGTAAACATTCAAAGAAGAAGAACTGGTATCATGCGATTCAACTTGAATTGTTGACAATTTGGATAAGTCTGAGATGAAACAAAGAGGTCACACATCTTTGTATCACCTGTTCTAGTAATCCAGTGAGCAGCCAATATAAGTCTGCTTCATTCTTTAAATGTTATATTAGTAGTAAACAGTAGTGACATGAATATGCTCAAATTTATTGACAAAATAAGGAAATCTATTATAATTAGGTTTAATGCATAATTTACATTCATTTAATTTAAAATTAATTATTCTAAAATATTTTTTTAAACTGGTCAATTCATTTGAATTTAACTAACAATTAATTCAATTAACATTGAAGTACTTTTTTTTTTTTTTTTTAAACATTTGGAGGAGGACTGGTTTCATGTGTTGAATTTGGATAAACCCTCCCTGGAACTGGGAACTGAACAGGTGAAACAAAGACGTCACATTTACCTTCAACAGAAACTTCACGTCGGTCCCAAAGAAACAGAAACAAGCAGAGAAGATAACTATTTTAATTTCTTGTGTACACTAAAAGTAAAATTTACACACTTATAGTCTCAAAAGAACCTGGGCATGCACAATAACCTTTTGACAGGCTCTTCAAGTGATTCAGTTTTTTTCCATAGGAATTTTCCCGTACATTTTACAGTCCATAGTTTAACTGTACACAGTCTAAAGCCACAGTGAACTATGATTACATCCATTTCATCTTTACAATGTGCAAAATCCTCCTGGGGAGACGGGAGCTGACAGTAGTATGAACAAAAACAAAATAATATTGCAAAACAAAACATGAGCGAATGAGAGCCGCGACCGTAAAAAGCACTTCATATATTAGGAACAGTGTACATAACCCAACACGAGGAAGCAAGAAATTGGTCCCTTAATTCCCTTCTGATGTGAGTCGACCTTCACTGCTGAGAAACTTTCAGTGGTTTTAACCAAGAAGTCCCATTTTTAACCCCCAAAAAATACAAAAAAATTACTCAAAATGAACAATGAGCGAGCAGACACAAACAAGGAAGGAAACTTGTTTTCATCCACCGGCCACAACAGCTGGAATATCTGTGAAAGTGTTTTAACGTGGAATAGAAAATAAAAACTCCAAAATGACAGAACTCGCCAGATTCACCAGAGTTTGGTCGGTGGAGGTTTCCCAAACTTAAAGAATAAAAAAGTAAGAGTCATCCTGCGTTCTAGAGACGGGGGGGGGGGGGGGCGACATAATTTATGTTAAAAAGCTAAATTAAATTACAAAAAGATAAATCAGGTTAAAATCTACAGCAACTGCAGGTAAAAACTAAGGCAACAAGGGGGACACAAAACATTCAGCTGGATTTTGCAGGCAGTGTGGTTTCAAGTCGATAAATATATTTTTATATTATGTATATAAACGTATTAAATTAAACTTGTCATACATATATTCCACTTGATTCAAAAAGAGCTTCAGCCAGTGTTTTTCCTTCACAGACAGACGAGAACACTCCCCCCAACCACAGAGACGTAAAATCATCCTCCACAAATCATTCAGAATTTAAAAAAAACAAAAAACATTTAATCCCTGATTATATTTACACGATGATTCTTCTAGATATGAACAGCACACACACCTAAACCTTCCTCTATAAATGATCAACTCTGTAAATGAATTAATCTCCTATTCCCGTTAAATGTGCAGGTCGCCTGCCGAGGCGGTCCCCCTCACCACACACGCCCGAGCTGTTTCCCGTGATGATAAATGCTTCGATTTAATTATTTTTTTAAATTTATTGTCAGTTGGAGAAAAAAGCGCAAATTAAAATAAAAGCATGTATGAGGGGGAGGGAGGGGCCGAGCCGCGGCAAGAGAACAAAAACAAACAAAAAAAAACACGACGACTTTATAAAATGGACCGAGTGAGTCAGTGAGATCTGCTGAAAATGAAGAGTTGACCTGCTCCCGAGACGTTTCATTACAGGCAGGGCCAAGTTGACTGAGTGGGGGGTGGGCGGGGTCAGGGGAGAGATGGAGGAGAGGAGGTTGGGGGGGGCCCGGCTTCAGTCTGGCGTGGCCCGGCAGCCGAGCGGCGTCAGCGTGGCGGGAAACATCAGCACCTTGGCCTGCATGAAGGAGAGATCCGGCAGACCTGCGATCACTTTGGCCGCCTCCTCGCTCAGATTCTCCTCTTTCCTCGGCTTCCTGTCAAATAGGAAGAGACACAGAGACGTTCACAGATCTCGCCACACGCGCACACACACGTTTACCAAACATGATATCCACTGGTGGGTTTTTTTCTTCTTCTGCACTTTTCTTGCCGGCCTGCAGCCTCTTTGAGCCCTGACCTGGTGGAGGTGCTGGTCTTTTCCATGGTGGACATCAAGCGGGCGAAGGCGTCCGCCACCCGACTGCCGGAGCTGCCGGGGTCCAGCTTGGCCGTCGTCAGCTCGTACAGCTCGGGGTCGACACCTGATTAAAGGAGGTTAAAAAAAGAAAAGTCACCGAGGTGGAAGCTGAGAAAACAAACACATCGACAGGTTCGGTCTGCGAAGAGCAGCTCAAACCAGTCAGGGTCACCGCCACGCTGACCTTCACCCGCTGGGATGCAATTACAGAAAAAAGGTACTAACTTTGTTACAAATATTATTTTGTTGTAGTTTTCTCACCAGAAATCTTCACCTGATAACTGCATACTGATGTTGACATGCCATAGAAGGTGTAATGTAACGAGAATAAAGTCGCAGTGGAGTCATAATATTTCAACAAAGTCTACCTGCCCCTTTACTTAGCTGTGCATCAGCCTGCGATACTGCTCTGCGGATGTTGTAGTTTCCCCACTGATATCAAGATGCTGATCAGACAGCATGGGGATTGCACAGGTGTGCCTTAGGCTGGCCACAATAAAAGGCCACTCCAAAATGTGCAGTTCCATCACACAGCACAATGCCACAGATGTCGCAAGTTTTGTCGCAATATTTGAGAGAAATAGGCCTTTTGTGTACATAGAGAAAGTCTTAGATCTTTGAGTTCAGCTCATGATGAATGGGGGCAAAAACAAAAGGGTTGTGTTTATAATTTTGTTCAGTGTAGGTGAAGTTAGTTCATATTCCGGCTGTTTGTTTGTTTACCAGACTCTGGATCTGTCCCAGACTCATTATCACAGACGTGAACTCTAGTCGCCCACAGACGAGTGTTACAAGTGAGAAGCGGAGATGGGAGGTTAATTTAGAGACGAGGAGCGGCAGAGGAGGTGGTGAGGACAGGGAGGAGGCCGTGAGCAGCAGCTGACCTGGGATGGAGGGCGAGATGGTGGAGCCTGAATCCTCCACGGGACCAAAGAAGTCCAGGTTTAACAGAGACGAGCCTCCGCTCGCTGCACAGCCAAGGGGGCGTGGCCGAGTTTAACAAAGACAGACAGACAAAGAGAGAGAGAGAGAGAGAGAGAGAGAGAGGGGACACCAGAAACATGCAGAAGTGTCAGTGATCAGCTAAATGAGAAATGTTAGACTGGTTTTACAGTTCGATGACAGAAGTCTTCATGCACAGCAGCCATTTGTTTAAAGGAAAGATCCACGCTTCTCACTGCAGCTACTAAAAACATGTCTGTGGCACAAATATCAATAATCTATAACTACAGCCAAATTCAGAGGATTCATAATGTACCTAATTAGATAGTTCCTGATTTAAATTAGAATGTTTCCAATTTTAGAAACTCCTTGTATGAACATATATTAAATTAAAACAATGTTTGAATATATATTTAAGTAAGCTAGTGTTTGTTATCCCTACTGAAACGCACAGTCTTCATGTGGCGGTTAGGTTGTGGTCTCCACGATTTATCTCCTGGTGCCGTTTGTTCACTCACTTATCTATTGTTTTTTTGCAAAGTGACTGCCGTAGCCTGCTCAATAATGTCTGCTGACACGTCGTTAAAACAATAATTTGTAGCAGGATTTAGATTTTCTGATATCCCATCACAGTAACCATCTCATGACCCCCTTACACTCCTTTCATGACCTTTTGTGGGGGTCTTGACCCGTGTTGGGAACAGCCTGCAGTCCTGAATCAGTGATTAGCAAAGATCGTCAATATTGCATTGTTTATTGTGGATTTTCCCTTTAATGAAGAAGGTTTTTAATGCATCTAGAAAGTTGTTAATAACCTGACATCAGCATGAAAATAGCACCAGCCACGTGTTTCCATCATCTGTCTGCCAATCAGTGGGCGTGGCTGGTGAATTTTGGACTGACGTATCTACAGACAGCGACCTTCAGAAAACACTCCAAGGGTTAGAGAAGCACAAGAGAAACAAGCCAAGAGCGGGGGGGAGGGGGGGGTCACCTACCGTCCAGAGGGTTGGTAAGGCCACTGCTGCTCCAGTCGAACTGGACGGGCGGGAGCACCTCCTGCTGGAGGAGCGAGAGAGGAGGTCAGTTTATACATAAACACACACATGTTGCGATGTCGCCCCCTGCTGGTTAGATTTAAAACAGACCTCTGAGTTTAAACTGTGACCCCCACCAGTGAGTCTCACTGCTGCACTGGGTCACATGTTCCTTCATCAGATGAACACACACTGTAGTTTCTTCTCAGTCCCACATACATTGTCCTGCTGCCCCAAATACTCATCAGAGCACCACATTTGGATTCATCCGCCGCTGAAATTAGTCCCCAACAAATGTACCATTTCCTCCCGTTTGTTTGATAAAAACTGGTGAGCAGCTGTTTAAGGAAACTACTGAGGTGTTTTAAAGATGTGTCTTCAGAAGGAAGTAGGGCTGAATAAGGCAAAAAATCATATCGCCATTATTTTGATGGATGCTGGGGTTGCGATATGAGTCATGATATCAGTGGGAGCGGCATTTCATTTTCACTGCAATGTATAAAAATGAGGACGATGTACTCTTTGCTTGGGGTCTGTACTACTCAAGCACATTCCCTTACATCTGGAGAATACGATTTAGAGGCCGGCGGCGTCTCTGTAGCACCACAAAGCTTCATTTATACAAAGGCTCGCAGCCACTGGCGACATTGCAGTTTCAATAATATTTCAATTCATCGTTCAGCCCCAGGAGGAACTAATGGGTTTGGAGCTGAGAGCAACACATAGCATGTGTGACAGTCTGACACAGGCATTGGAGGACGTTGTTGGTTTAGTGTTTTCACTTATTGACAAGCCTTATCCTTTAAACAACACTTAAAGCTTAACAATCAGCTCATCAACATAATGAAGGCTCCTCTGGTGTCAGTAAAGTGTTCTAGTTTTCCCGTAGACGCCCTGAGGTCCCACCTGGACAGTGTCCGAGGGACAGGAGCTCTTCTCTGGAGCCACTGGAGGCGTCTGGGCTATAGAAGCGATCATCTCTGCTGCAGAGACGGGTTTCACGGGCTCTTTGGTTGGTTCCAGCATCCCCTAAAGACAACAGACAGTGTTTGTGATGTGCAGCAGGGCATCAGAGGAACGCAGTGTTTCAAACACACCAAACATGTCAGGGGGGAAATGTGTAGAACAAGAGATGCAACCATAAAGACGACGTGAGTTTGAAAGTTTCACTTAGTGTAAACATCACTGTGCGCTGTGCATGTGATGGTATTCAGTCTGCACGAACTTTACAGTGAGCTGAGGGTCATTTAAGAGGGAAATATACCTCGAATGGTTTGTTAATGAGACCAAAATGCTTGTTTGCATGAGTGTAACAGACGCATATTTAAATCTAGATCTACAGGTTTCTTTCAGGCCTAAACATATGTTTTTGTTTTGTCTGCTGGTTGACCGTGTAAACGCAGTTTGCTTTTATTTATTTACTGCATCCTGCTGTTAGGACGCTGCTGTAGTGTTCTTACTTATTGAATTCAAAAATAACTTCTCATATAAAAAGGTAACATTGGTCATTTTCAACCTGGACCTTATTTCCCCGTGTTTTTGTCTGTGTGACAAACTGGGTTTAAATTGATCCAGTATTAAACAAGCACGCAGAAGTTCGGCAACGTCAAAGCCACCAGACTCGCTTTAAAAAAAAAAAAAAAAAAGGAGTAATTTTACCTCTCTGGTCTACTGCAGCCTCGATCGGTTAGTTTGTGTTATTGTGAGACTTTTTGCCGTTTGTAACCCTTTAAAACAGCAAGTCACACACAAACAAACAGTAGACCAGCAGCTCTTGTATTCTAAGAGGTTAAATTACTGTTTTTAATCAAGGGAGTCTGGTGGCTTTGACAAGTGTGATATAGTGACTGTTTCTGGTTAAAGAAAAAGGATTAAACACTCTCTGTAGGGATCCCTTCCATAATGTTGTCAAGACACTTGAAATACCAATCTGAGCCGGTCAGCAGCAAAAACAAGCTCTTCAGTGGACATACTTTGACGAGACGTTAACTTTCATTATCAGGAATTGTCTCAATGGTTAAAATGTTAGAAAACTGATGCAAAGGCTGATCAATGTTTCCCTGAAAGTGACCTCAGACTGCTACTTCTGTGCAGCCACAAGTCCAAAAACATAAGATATTCTGTTTACGACATTAAAGAGGAAAAAAAACTATTGAATCAAGAGTACTGTACAATAAGACTGACTAAAAGTGTTTAAAGGTCTGAAGAAGTAAAACTACACATTTATATAAATATAAATGATTAATAAAACTATTTCCAGTTAAAGTGAGTGAAACTAATAATATGAATGATCACTGTACATGAGGACAGGGAACGTGTGACGTGCTGAGAGAAGGTTTGTACTGTTGAGGTGAAGGAGACGGAGTCTGGCGACTCACCAGGCTGGCGGCGTACATGGGCACGATGACCGGCTGCTTCTTCTGTCCTGTGAACAGCTGAAAAAAAGACATTAAACGCAGCAGCTTAGAAAACTCAGATACATCCTGCTGTAAAGTAAAAAACCGAGCTCTGAAAATACTTTCTCCACCTCACAAGAGAAACGTTTGACAGTCCCTAATGGCAGCCAGCAGAGGTTAATAAAGGTCACACATCTCTTGACGCGTCATTAAATCATTTCTAAAATACACTTTTGCAGATCACAAGGTTATCTATGCATTTCCATATTCAAAAGGGTCATTAGTGTTCTGATGTTTTGGCCAATTTAATACAAATCAATTATAATTGACCATCTTTAATGTTTTCATGTGTGTTTCTGTTCCAACTCGTTAGCCAGGTGAAATAGTGAGCTGGTAGGAGACAGATGGTCTTACAATATTCCGGGTGTCGATGCCCAGGCTGCAGAGTAGTGCTTTGTTGCAGTAGGAGCCCCCCCACTGGTATCTGAGGCCGAACGCCTCGTGGATGTCCTGAAGCTGCGCCCACACACCGCCACGCACAGACCTGCACCAACCAATGAGACGCAGCAGAGTCAAAGACGAGGTACTGACGGGCTTTAACAGACACGGAAACGTTGACACAGAAAAAAAAAAAGATTCTCTCCTCTGGACAGGGTTTTCTGTAGTGGAGGCAAGCTAAAATTAAAGAGCGTCGACACCAATGTCTACTACATTTTTATGACTACATTTTTTGGGGAAAAACAAGTAAAAGCACGTTATCGCAAAGAAAGCGCTGTTCAGACACCAGAATCAAAACACATTTGAGTAGGAGGGTTGGAAATAAAAATTAATTCATAAAAATGGAGGTGACCCAAAAAAAAATAACAGCATGATGAATTATCAGCTCAGTGTTTCCCATTAATTAACAAAACCATGGCAGCCCACCACAGATAATTAGCTCCACCACAGTGTCAAAATGAACCGAAAATAGTTTACACACCTCATAATAACATTTCAGACTTCTAACGTTGCGTTTTGTGGGCGCTGCTGTAAGCTGGCACGCTCACAGACTTTGGAATCTGACTCGAGACAAACACTTTTCTTTTGAGGCAACTACGGTAACGTTAACAGTTTGTTTCTGAGAAGGCGATTAAGCTAGCTGCACCTAAATTTGGAGTGCACACGTATTCAAGCCTTTATGGTAACTGAAACGGACCAGTGCGAGCTGACAGGCAGGTTAGAGACTTTATCCTGTCAGTTTCTCTCTTTACAAAGACAAGTGTTGCAGTATGAGAGTCCTAGCTGAAGAGAGGCTGTCAAGTCTTTATGTTACGAAATACGAGAACCACATACAACATTATATATCAAACTGGGTCGGACTGGATGACTTTAGCGCGAGGACGCATATGTGACAACATCCAGTTTTCAAAATAAGGTAAAGGGAAATTACATATTCTATTGTTTGATTTAGGGTTACTGGATAATCATAAATTTGTTGTTTTTATTGCCGTTTCATCACCATTTCTCTCTCATTTACAGTCCATTTTAAGAAACTATTTACTTAAAATCCTGTGGGAAACACTGCAGCTGATTTGATTCATTTAAAGCCGATTTATTGTTTTCCTCCGTCTTACATTCATCACTCATCATTCACAACATAAAATTGACATTTATCATTTAAGGAAAGTGGCTACAAGGGTGGGAGTCACACACAAAAAAACCCAAATTCATAATGGAAGTGATGAAATGTATGCGAGTTGAAAAAAAGAGTTATAAATTGTCAATAAATTTGATCATTCACCCAACTGACAGTTCCTGTTTACAGCATCTGCTTTTGTATCTTCCACCCTGCATGAAACGATGCCCACTCCCGTACGTCGAAAGCCTGGGCGACTACGTTACCACGGACAGCATTTGACTGCTACAGGAGCTCGGAATAAAGCGAGTGTTCATTCTGAAGGACTAAATTAACAGTTTAAGTCAAGCACAGAGGTTGTATTATGTGCAGTTCTGGTTGTTGTTCCTGCGGATGGTTTGTTAATCAAACAGCCAGCGGCGGTGCTGATACAGTGGATTGTACCAGTCCGCCCTGCTGACACCCGGCCCGTACACTCTGCAGCAGGACAGGCCGGAGGGACTGCAGCAGCCAAAGAGGTCGGTGTGTTTACTGGGAAAAATACCGCTCAGTGCTTCTGGCTGTTAGTTTTACAAACAGACCGCAAGAAAAATACCGTGTGTGGTTTCATCTATTCTATGCACTCTGCCTTATTTATTAGTACAAAAAACAGTTTTTTTAAATAGATTTTTCTGATGTTCATCAAAGTTAAGCTAAAGACACAGGTTGGGGTTTTGGTAACTTGTGGCCGTTAAGGATTTAAACCGAGCATGTGTGTCTTGTTTTAAATCTCTGTTTACATTAAAGAAATAAAAGACTTTAACACTCATTGAGACCGGACGGGAAACAGCGGACTGATTGGTAGCAGCTAACAAATTAAAGCTGCAACTAACAACTATTCTCATTGTCGATTATTTTCTCAATTAACAGATCAACGTTTTGGTCTATAAAATGTCAGTGTTTCCCAAAGCTCAAGAAGACATCCTGAAATGTCTTGTTTTGACCACAACCCAAAGATATTTAGTTTACTTTCACAGAGGAGGAAAGAAACAAAAAAACATTCACATTTAAGAAGCAGGAATCAATTCATTTTTCTTTATAAAAAAAAAAGTGTTTTAAAAAAACGACACAAATCAATTATCCAAATGGCTCTAAAATAAATATGAAAAATGTAATGATTCAGATGTCAAACGAAACATTTTTTTAAATGGAAAAGTTGGTTGTTTTTTGTTAGTTTCATGATTTTTCGCGGACTCACCTGTTGCATGGCGTCCCCTCTGGCTCCTCGGCTCCCGGCTGTGGTTTGTCCTCTGGAGGTTCCAGCATGATCTTCAGGGACACCACCACATCCTCCACCGGGGGGACGGCGGTCTGAGGGAAGCTGCTCTGAAACAGCTTCTCCAGGCGGCTCGACAGCGACGCCTGCAGAGACCGTGACAGATTTTAGCTCACATCCTATAAAACACTTCCAAGCTTTTTAATATTTCTTCTTTTTCTTTGCAATCTCAGTAACCGACCCCTTTGAATTTGTGTTGACTTGTGCAGCAAGTTATCGACCACGAGCTTCAAATGTTCAGGTTAATGAAGAAACAGAGGCTGCAGCTGAAAAGTTAAACCAGCTATTTTTCTCCCATCAGGCTCTGCACGAACTCCTAGGAGTTCGAGCAGGATCTTTAGCTGGTGAGATTCACTCTTACAGAGCAAATCCTTTGACAGCTTGGACAGACTCGGAGTCAAACCTGGTCACGCCTCACCTGTCCGGCTGCACCAAAGGAACCACTTTATGCCTGATCTCACGGCATTTAGCTTTGCAAATAACGCAAGATCAGTCCTTGCAAGCTCACGCACTCCACTGGAAGTTCAATGTATCCAACTTGACGGCAGTGTTTTTATACCCTACCCCTGCAGTCGCTGGCAGCTCTCGTCTGACTATTAAGACTGTGAAAGTCAGCTGAAGTCATCCTGAACGCCCCTACTGCCATACAACCACCACAAAACACAGCTTGCATGATCAGCTGTCCTTTTGTCCAAAGTACTATTTCCAACAATGAAACCAGTTTACTTTAGAAAAAACAGAAAAAAGCATCCTGGTGCACCAGAGAGAGAATAGTTTCTGTTTGAGTGTGAGCGTTACCTCAGACACTTTCACACTTTTAACCCAGTTTCCTGCTGGCAGCCGTCACAGTGGTTACACTGGCCGACAGCCAATGCTGTGTGGTTAAACAGGAGGTCCCGGCGCTACTGTTAACAGCTGTGAGTGAATCCTGCTCTGAGCTGCAGAGCTGGACTCACTACAGCTCTGTGTTACTCTAAACAGAGAGCCTCGCTCACTGCCACTTCAGCACCATGGGACCTTATTTTGGACCGTATTGATTCAACATGAGAGACAACTAATGTTTAGATCTCGTTTCAACTGTGCCCTGAATTACACACACGATGTTTGTCAGTTAAAAGATCATTAAAGTTAGTAGCAGTAATGAAATTTAGTTAACTGCATAGCATTATTACTGACCTCTGCTGTTGCTATTTTTATTTATAAGGCTGCTGTTATTAGTATAGAGTCAGATACATGTTCAACTACGCACTTTACAACGCTCCAGCAAACCACGTTCACTCCTTTTAAATAGGGAGAACCACGCGTCTCCATTGTGTGACGGTCCTTCTGCATTTCCGAGTTCTGCCTTTTTCGTTCTGTCAACAATGCGTTATCAATTAACCTCTACATAATCGATTAATTATCGTCAAAGTCTGCATCGCGATGCAACTAAGAATCACAAAACAGATACCAGATTTTTAAGACCAGTATTTGAGTCAGATAACATATCTACCGATCTTTGGGGTTTTTTTAAATATAAAACACCACATAAACACGGATTTAAAGATTTAAGATTCCCTTAAATTGGATTATTTAAACATTTTGACCACGATAAACTGTGGGACATTTTACATAGTTTGTCCACTTATCAGTGGACAAACTATGGAACAGAGACACATCTCAAATTCATCGTTGGCATTTCTGAGAAATTTCTAACTACTTCAGTCGGCCGAAGAATCGGGCCAATATCTGCCATTTTGAGATAATCAGCATCAATAATCGAGCATTAAAAATATATAGTCATACTATATACTAAATATAGCTGTAATCTGCAGGAATAATGGAATTATACAAGACTTTTCTTTGTTTTGATGATCAGCCACCCTGCTCTGTAAATATCAGCATCAGTTGAGTGATTTATAGGCCGATACAGATTCATCTGCGATAAGCTAAAATCAGCCGATATCATCTCCCTGCTTTTTTTTTTACACTTCTGTTAGATTTCACAATGAACGTTAATTACCAATTCTAAGTTTGTAAAACATTATTTTAAAACTCTTTTTATTTTTATTTTCTGTTACATCTTAAAGGGTCAGTTCACCCAAATTACAAGTATACCTAGTGGTATCTATCCATATAGATGGTTTTAGTGTTGCTTGTCCAGGTTTTCTAACGTCTGTCTCTCTGATTTTTGCCTCTACCCCCAATTTCCCTGGTACCTCGTTGTGATCCGTCTTCAGTGGAACTACTTTTCTGCCAAAGAAATAGTTCCCAAGAAAACTGCTCGGTTCTGCAAGGATGTGTCACTGATAATTATGTTTATATTTCATTTTCAATGTCTTGAACACAGGTGGCAGAAAATTCATAAAGAGATTTCTAAAAACGTGAACAAATGAAACCAAAACTACATATACCACCAGGGAAAAGTTGATAAGTTTCGATCATTTTGTTTAACTTATTCCTCCTTGTTTTACCTTTTATGAACTCCACATTTCATAAACTGCCTTCTCCAGACAGGTTCTGTGCTACAAAGCTCTATATCATGGATGAATAACTCTGCAGCCATGAGGTTTCCCAGTCTGACCAGTTTACAGTGCTTACCGACTGGTTGTCTGTCCTGCTGGTTTCCTCACTGACTGCAGGAGCTTCACTTTCATGCCACTCCTCCTCCTCCTGCTGCTGCTGCTCTTCTTCTCTACTCTCTGCAGGAGGAGCGACGCTCTGCTCCATGCTGAACTCCGCCCAGGACTCCCCCTCCACCTGCTGCTGCTGCTCTAGCTCCCCGAAGGCGCTCCACCCTGCATTCGCCTCACCGTCTGCGCCTTCAGTGGCTGAGCTGAAGTTCCCAAAACTGTCACTGACAGGAAAATCTGCAAACCTGCCTCCATCCTCCCCCTCGTTTTTACTTGTGTGAAATTTAGGGGAGTTGAAGTCGCCAAAGTCATCGTCCATGGAGTTTGTAGCTTCCTGTGCAGGGGCTGAGCTGTGCGACCTGCTCTGCTCCTGCTGGACATCCAGCTGGTCAAAATCGGCAAAACCGTGACCGCTGAAAGAGCCGGCGTCTCCAAAGTCCCCGAAGTCCTCGTCCTCCTCGTCCTCTGCCAGCTGGCTGTATTCTGCGGGTGTGGCGGTCTCCCCTTGGAGAGGTGGAGAGGGCACCGAGCCCGTGGTGCTCATGTCACCGTAGTCCTCGAGAGCGTCTGTTGACAGCGGCCGGCCCAGCGATGTCTCAGTCTCCGTCTCCGTCTCTGTCTCCGTCTCGTTTCCGGAGCCCTTCCCGTCTGACTGTCCCGCCTCACCGTCTGCAGCTGCGTCGGGTGAGAGGTCGTTTTCACTGCAGCCCGTGGCGTCTTTGGAATCGTCCCTGACGGCTACATCCACCCCGTTCAGAGAGACGGGTTTGTTAGTGCAAACTGCCTCTGAGGCAAAGTGCTCCTGTGCAAAGGCTACGTCCCTTTGTTGAGAGTCAGCGTCTGTGCGAGAGCCCCGGTCCGTGTTGCACGAGTCGTCCGGGGCCACAGCAGGAACACACACGGAATCACAGCCGGATGTGCTGGGTCCAGTTCTGTTTGTGTCCCTGACATTGTCCTCTGTAATCGTTCCCTGCTCTATATTATAGTGCTCGTCGTGGGAGGCAGCCTCCGCCAGCCAGCTGGGGTTGTCCAAGTCCTCGCTTGCCGTCTGGCTGAGGTGTCCTTCAGCATTGGAAAAAGCAGCAAAGTCTGCAAAATCGTCCTCTGGGCTGTCGACAGGGAAGCTGCCCGTGTCCTCAGTGGACGTTCCTTTTATATGAGAATGGACAGAATTCTGTGAGGAAGGGCTTCCCTGAAATTCGAAGGTTGCAAACCCGTTTGTTAACACCTCTGTGCTGCCGCCGTTGCAATCAGCGGGCTCGCCACCAGCTGTGTCTCTCACCGAGAAATCCAGAGAGCCAGAGAGGACTTTTTTCATCTCAGTTCTTTCTGAGGGACTGCTGCCCAGGTGGCTTGCTGGCACGACGCCATTAGCCTTGGACAGCTCGTTATTGGGACTGTGGGTGCCGTTAGAGGAGCTGTGGCTGAAGCCCCTCACACCTCTGCTGTTGATGAGCTCAGGCGGGGAGGTGGCGGTCAGAGCTTGGCTCTGGTTGAAAGTGGTCGGAGTGTCGAATTCTGTGAAGCTGATGCTGTTTGGGACGCTGGAGAAGGTGTCAAAGTCTCCAAACTCGTTGTCCTCTTCCTCTGCACCGTCCTCCATCGGCGGCGGAGAGGAGGAGTACATGCGGATCACATCTGGCTCCATGATTCTCTGGAAAGCAACGAATCCTCCTGGCTACACCTGAGACAGTAGGAAAAGACATAATCAGAGACGATCTGTCACAGTAGATACATAAATAAACCCACAAGTCTTTAAACCCCATTCTGGCTTTATAAACCCAAGAAGTAACTAAGGGCAAGTGGTGCTCCAGGAGCAATTAGCTTGATGTGCGGTTTGAGCGGAGGCAGAAATTTAATTACTGAAGCACTAAAAGGGGACAGATCGGCATCAAATTGAGAGTAATAGAGTGGTAATGAGAAACCAGTGCTGTGTTAGTGAGGACATAAGTAACTATGACGTCTCACATCAGTCTGCATCTCCCGACCAAACAGCTTCTACTTATCTTCATTTCATGCCATGTTTGACCCGATGAACACCCTCAGGTCAACTTGTGGCAGAGGAACTCTGCATTTACAGCTACTATTTTCCGTCGCTACTGAACTACAACTGAAACCTGTTATCATCCCTTCGTTCTATAAAACTTGTGAATATGTCCTTGTACCTTCTCCTCCTGCAAAGCTCCTACATGAAGCCTGTCTCTGATTTCCTCAGTCCCCACAGTTGTGCTTCTTAATTTGACCATGGTTTTACATCTTACAAGTGTTCATTAAAGATTATATTTAAAAAAAAACAGTGCACTGTTTTCATCACAAATTAACAGAAGCTCTTTTTTTGGTGTGTTTTTAAAGAGCTCCCTAACCCTCAAGGACTTTTCTAACCTGTCGATACAACAACCGTTCCCTCAAGTATAGTTTTTTTACCTGCAAGATAAAAAGAGTATTACTAAGTATTTAAGTATTACCATGTCTTCCAAAAACTAAAATTTTACCTGGTGGAAAAAAGGAGAGTTCTGTGACTTGTAATGCAATCATTGAAGCAATGCTTTTATTTGTGGGTCCCTTATTTGCTAAAAATTTCTTAAAAGTTTCCTGGAAAAAACTACAGAATTTGGATCTTATTAAATTGAAAATGTTCTGATCTTTGCCAGTTAGTTTAATTGGTTGTTCCAGTTTCTTAAATTTGAGGATTTGCTGCTTTTCTGTATTTTTGAATCACTGTAAATTTAATTTATTTGGGTTCTGGACAGTTGGACAGAAAACGTAATTTGAAGATGTCACCTTGAGCTCTAGGAAATAGTGTTCAGTTGGTTTTTTTTAACCATTTGCTGACATTTTATAGTGAAAATCAATTCATTGAAATAATCAAGAGATTTATTTTTCATGCCATAATCACCTACCTGCACTTATGGATTGGAAATCCAAATTAACTCTGTTAATTTACCTATAATTAGAGCCAAATTATCTATTCTTTAAGAAAGCTCCCTAAGACGTTTTGAGGAATTTACAATCCCGTAAAATGAACTAAGTGAAACGTTTCTGACCAATAATCACTACATGAGCCACAAACCACCTTCAAAGAGGAAACTGTTTGATTTCTCAAACAACCAACAGAAGTAGTGGGTGGCGTCTACTAACCGTGTATTTGCTTGGTGCACCTTATCTCACAAAAATACCTGTGAGCAGGTAGTTTACACCCAGCCTTTGCTGACTTGCTACAGACATGCAAGTCCAGAAAGACAAGTTAATGACAAAGGAGCAGGAAAAAAAGTTGTCCCTAAGGAAACTGATGGCATACGTGCTAATAGCTATTAATAATGTAAAAAATATGTTGCTCATCAAATGTAAGTCGCTTTGGATAAAAGCCTCTGCCAAATGAGTAAGTATAAACTACACTGGGATCTGTGTCTCCAACCACATTTAAAAGACATTTAAAAAGTGCTGAACTCACTGAACCGCTGGGATGAGTCATGGCAATAATAGAGTCTGGCTTAAACAAAATAAAAAAGTTATTTAAGTGGAAACAGCTGTTTTGGGGACCAGCGCTTTAAACCTAACATAAAGTCCAAGTGAGTTAGTTAATCAGCAAACATAATATGTTAACTATTAAGACGAGCTGTCACATCCATAATAACAAGGTTGGCATCTTCTGACAGTTGTTTATATCAGGCTCAAACTCTGCCTGGTGAGGCAATTATTTCCCCGAGTTAAACCAAGTTTCACACATTTTTCTTCACTTGTCTGACGTTGGTTGATAAGTAAAGCTAGAAGGCTAACGTAGCTCCATCTAGCTTAGCAGGCTAACACAAGCTGGCTAGTGCGCCCGTTAGCTCAGTAGGAACCTGACAGCTGAGTTATGTAGAGCAGAAAACGACCAGAGTGACATTAATCTGGCGTGAGGCTAGGTTAGCATTAACTAGAAGTTATCCAATTAAACTACAAGGCCGGAGACACCTCGCTGAGATGGGGTGTAACGGTAGCTAACTTTAGCTATGCTCGGTTAGCTTGTGTTGAAAAGCAAAGCTAAACTAACCGTGTTGCAATGATGAGCGATGTTGCCAGTTGACGTGTCATTAGTTTGTTGCCCCTCTGTCGAGTCGATAATAACGTTAGTGTTATGCTAGAATATATCTCATATGAATATATATAAACGCGTGCAAAGCAACAACATCAGATACAAGTGAGTGAGAAGTAAGCTAACTACGCAGCTAGCTGAAACTAACGTCAACAACAAGCATCTCCCTTAAGCATTAGCTTTAGCTTCTCCTCATCCTCCGGCTCGTGTTTGACAGCAGGTGTTTTAGTGACCAAAAGAAGCAGGTGAGCTAACCGTGCGCTGTTGTCCACTGATTCCCATGGCTCAGGTAAAGACAGCGCTGTCCATTTGTTGTCAGATGAAGCCAGGTGAACAGCGCAGGACGGCTGAAAGTGAAGCAGAAACTGAAGGTTGAGTCAGCCGGCGGCTGCTGCTGCTGCTGCTGCTACCCTGCCTCAATATCACCCAGCATGCACCGCTGTGGCAGCTTCTGCTTGGTTCTCCCAAAACTTTCCACGTTTAACAGGTAACTTACAGGTGAGGCTTCACACAGCGAAAACACTGTGACACTGTCCAAATCACTGATTCACTGGCCAGTAATATTAAAGCATATATATAATGGATGTGGTATTGAGTATTTTTAGCGACCACTTATCTGCCAAGAAACCAATTAAATATCATAAAATATTGTTAGAATTTCTGAAAAATATCCAAAAAGATATTACCACATAAACTACCAGAACAATATTAGTAAAATATACCACGGAAATATCCAGTAAAATATTTGAAAAATATTAGGAGAATATCCAAAAAATATTAGAATATCGGAAAAATAGAACAACCATCTGAAAAATATTGGGAAAATACACAAATATATCAGAAAAATATCCAGAAAAATATCAGTTAAATATTCGAAAAATATCAGTAAAATATTTGAAAAATTATACGGAGTATATCTAAAAAATATTAGTCAAATAGTCAACAAGATATTAATAAACCATCTGAACAATATTGGTGGAATATACACAAACATGTCAGTAAACTATCCCAAAAATATCAGTAAAATATTCGATAAATATCATATAAATATCCAGATAAATAGTGAAATATTCATATAAATATCCAACAAAATGTTAATAACTATCTGAAAAATATTGGGAAAACATATGACAAAAGTTTTTAAAATATATATGTAATATACACAAATATATCAGTAAAATATTCGAAAAATACTAGGAGAATTGCCAAATAAATTTAGGTAAAATTACAACATATTGATAAACTATCTGAAAAATATTGGAAAAATATACACAAATATATCAGTTAAATATCTGAAAATTATTTAATTTTATTTATATAATAATTATTATTTTTAAGTAATGTATTTGTAAAAATTTAAATATTCACCAAATATTAGTAAAATATACACAAATATAAAGCTGGGATTGGCTCCAGTCCCCTGCGACCCTCTACGCAGGATAAGCGGTTGACGATGAATGGATGGGCACAAATAAAATAAAAAATATTGGGAAAATATCTTGTGTCTTATGCCCGTAACTGCAGAAGATCACAAAAGCCTAGGTGTGGTCATCGTCATGCTTTGTTTACTCATGATCACAAAATATGACTTAAAAACAAAACATACAACAAAATATACAATCAATCCCACCGAAGAGAGAGTGAGACCAGACAAGTGTAAACATCTTTCTGGCATGAGCTAAAAGAGATGGACGCCCAGCTGGCCTTGTTTCTGTTGGACTAATTGGTAATAACAGCTGTGCCCTGTGTTGTTGTGCTTGCTTCATGTGAAATCAGCAAGAGCTTCAGCTGCTAGCAATGAATCTAGAGATCATGATACCAGAGCTCTGCGGACGTAACGTTAGCTAATGGTAGAGGAGAAGAGACCGAAGAGGACGCTGATGGAAAAAGCTAAGAAGAGAAAAAAAAGAGAGGCCGAGCAAGAGGCTGCTGGACATTGGCGGCGAGAGCTTGGTGAAATAAAAGGTAGCGGGACAGCCGGCGAGCTGACCTTCTTTCTGCTGTGCTAGTTAGTAATATTGCTGTGTCTTGTGTTGTTGCGCTTGCTTGATGTTTGGTTTTTAGCAGAGTAGTAGACTCAAGCTAAATCTGCGAGAGGTTTCACGGAAAGAAGTTTAGCTGCTAGCTATAAATCTCAAGTTGATGTTAGCAAACCTTCTAGATAAGACACTCATCAGTTACGTTACTGTGAGTGCTCATACGTCGGCTGGTGGAGCTAATGGCAGAGGAGAAGAGACTGGAGAGGACGTTGAGGAAGGAAGCTAAGAAGAGAAAAAGAGAGAGAACAGGCAAGAGGCTGCCGGACGTTGGCGAGAACTTGGTGAAATAAAAGGCCGCAGGACAGACGGTGAGCTGACCTTTCTGCTGGATTAGTCAGTAATATTGCATTTGCTTGATGTTTGGTGTTTAGCAAAGTTATCTACTTGTTGGTTTCTGATCACAAGTAATGTAATGATAAAAAATGCACATGTACAGCTTTCTTTATTTACGACAGCGGTGAATTACACAAAAAAACACTTTTAGTTTACCAAACTTTTGTTTTCGTCTTTATTCCTTTATTAGGTTTATCTGTTTCCTGAGGTTCTTTTAGTTTCATGAAAACACTGCACTGTTACTCTCATTACATTCTCCAGATATTTTAAAAAGTCGATTTAAAAAAATATATATAAAGGCAATGCAGGAACCGTTAATAAACATTCCCGACTGTATTTACATAACAAAGACAGACTGTTATGTAGGACATTGTGGGAACAATCATCCAATATAATAAGTTACAAAATGTCTAAAATGTTAGAATATAAAAAGTTCTGTAATAAAATAAAGGAAAAGTTTGACCAAACATATGCAAATTACAGTGACCAATTACAGTGGTTTGATTAGTAATCAGTGCTACACTTTAATCATTAGCAGGCAGTTGTGTTTATAAGTAGTTCAGTGCAAAATAGAAGAAAACAATAAAAACTAACCTCTTCTAAGATCAACATCTAGCCTGAAACTATAGAGAGAAAAGAGTCTTAATATTGGTGATAAATGCAAATAATTGTAGATATTTATATGTGTTTTTAGATGTATGAACTTGAAATATCACATAGTTTCAAGTTCATAGACTTATTTATTTAACTTGGAAAGCATTATTTGTAAAGTAGTTTCATATTTGTTGGTATTATAACACCACCACTTACTTGCAAATCATCATACACATTTGTAAAATCTTAATTTTTATCATCATCATTTATCATTTATCATTTATCATTGAACTTCAAGCATCTGATACCAAAATGTCCACAGTGAAAACAGACCGTGTTCAGACAAGGGGAGTTCTGGCAGTTTGTGCCCAAAGAGTTGAGATCCGTGTCTTTGAAAGGGACTCGTGTTCAACAGTGAAGTCCTTTTACTTCAAGCCAGTTTAGTGATGGCGATGCTGCCTTTGACCCATAATGTGTTGATGTCGCCGAGTGATGTCAGTCTGTGGCAAAAGTCAAACAGCTGCTGCCCGTCCACGAACACAAGAAACCGGCTTTGTTCACAGCGAATCTCCATCTGGGAGGAGAGACGAGACACAAGCTTTGAACATTTTAAAGTGAAACCTGACAGGAGAGATGTGTGTCTGTTTGATTCCAACACCAGCATGATTACTGAATAACTGAGCATCATCAGGACACATTTAACGGCCGTATAGGTCGATTATGCAGCAGCTAATTACGACCAATGTTAAAGTTTTTGTTTATTTCTAGTGGCAGAAGAAGTCAGGTGACATAGTCTAAAGAGTGACAAAGTAAGTAAGTGGTAGGGTGGATGGATGAGTGTGGAAGAAAGTCAAAGGTGACATGTTTTAAGTTTAAGTCTACATTTTGTAGATAACTTACATCATTTTACTAATCCCTGGTGCACAGGATGTTCACATCTTAACCTACTGTAAAACTTTGATTAATAGCCCGGACTTTTATTTGCTAAAATCACTTAATTGACCATTCCTGTATTTGGGACAGGTGTCCATATTTTGCAAAAAACTGAAGCAGGCTACTATAAAACAGTTCATTTATTTCAAACAGTATGAATATTACTTGTATAAAAATGATCCAATAATATCAAATACACGTCATTCATTTGATCTAGCTCCGACAGACGGCTTATGCGCTTTTATTTTGAAGGCAGCAACGTAACGAAAACAACAGCAGGGTGCAGGATGAGAGAAGTGTGGCAGAAGTTAGAAGATAAAGACTCCTGCACAGATTTTGTGGGCTACTGCTGGTACCTTGAAGGGCTGGTTTCTGATGAAGGGGAAGAAAGGGACGGCTCTTTCGATGTCCCCCCAGGATCCAGACACACAGGCTCTGCGCAGGACTTGGCGGTCCCTGAATCGAACACAGAGCTCCAGGGCCACATCAGACGGAGGTTCTCCGGATGTTCCACAGCCACAAGTCAGGGCAACGTAGAACCTAACAGAGGGTCAGACACCAGCCATACGTCTTTATCTGACTTTACACAAAGGATTGTGATTATCCCTAACAGCAGAGAGCACATCATCGTGAACTGCACATGACCTGAAGCCCCATTCAGAGTGTATTTATGAGGAGATATGACAACAGAAAAATGTGCTGTTGTTCTGTCAGCTGCAGGTAGGTACTGAGATACTCTTTTGAGAACTCTTTGTTTTCTGCACTGGGGACCGTGAGAAACAGCATTAACATTTTGTATCTGGCCATATGCAACAGGGCTACTGTTCTGCAAAAATGACAAAAATGTTCTTTACACAAACTGTATTGAACTGAGCCTTACTGAGGAGTGGGTCTCAACATGTTTGTCCTGAGGATGGTGCTAGAGAAAAGATGCAAAATGACTGTGGCCGACTTGACAGCCTAACATGAGCTGCAGGTGACTGCAGGGGCGGGAATAAAAATGGCGCCGTCAAGTCGGACACATTCTACCTGCGGGAGCTTCTACCTCCAAGAGCTTCTACCCCCATGGGCGTCTACCTCCATGGGCTTCTACCTCCAAGAGCTTCTACCTCCATGGGCTTCTACCTCCAAGAGCTTCTACCTCCATGGGCTTCTACCCCCATGGGCGTCTACCTCCATGGGCTTCTACCTCCAAGAGCTTCTACCCCCATGGGCTTCTACCTCCATGGGCTTCTACCCCCATGGGCGTCTACCTCCATGGGCTTCTACCTCCAAGAGCTTCTACCCCATGGGCTTCTACCTCCATGGGCTTCTACCTCCATGGGCTTCTACCTCCAAGAGCTTCTACCCCCATGGGCTTCTAACTCCATGGGCTTCTACCTCCATGGGCTTCTACCTCCAAGAGCTTCTACCTCCATGGGCTTCTACCTCCAAGAGCTTCTACCTCCAAGAGCTTCTACCTCCAAGAGCTTCTACCTCCATGGGCTTCTACCTCCAAGAGCTTCTACCTCCATGGGCTTCTACCTCCACGGGCTTCTACCTCCATGGGCTTCTACCTCCAAGAGCTTCTACCTCCATGGGCTTCTACCTCCAAGAGCTTCTACCTCCATGGGCTTCTACCTCCATGGGCTTCTACCCCCATGGGCTTCTCCCTCCATGGGCTTCTACCTCCATGAGCTTCTACCCCCATGGGCTTCTACCCCCATGGGCTTCTACCCCCATGAGCTTCTACCCCCATGAGCTTCTACCTCCATGAGCTTCTACCCCCATGAGCTTCTACCCCCATGGGCTTCTACCCCCATGGGCTTCTACCTCCATGGGCTTCTACCCCCATGGGCTTCTACCTCCAAGAGCTTCTACCTCCATGGGCTTCTACCCCCATGGGCTTCTACCCCCATGGGCTTCTACCTCCAAGAGCTTCAACCTCCATGAGCTTCTACCCCCATGGGCTTCTACCCCCATGGGCTTCTACCTCCATGGGCTTCTATCCCCATGGGCTTCTACCTCCAAGAGCTTCTACCCCCATGGGCTTCTATCCCCATGGGCTTCTACTTCCAGGAGCTTCTACCTCCAAGAGCTTCAACCTCCATGGGCTTCTACCTCCATGGGTTTGCTCAGCTTGCACAGCTGCACTGTGAGCTGTGATCAGTGACTGATCTCACGGAATTATCAATGAAAAATGCCGCGAGACCAGGCAAAAGGTGGTTCCAACCAAGGGGGTAAGCCAGAGATTGGACAGTGAATCCGACCAAAGCCTGCCTGGAGGGATCCATGTAGGCCCAAAAATTACGTCAAAACCCTGTGACACCCCGTCGCACGAGAGATGGACCCGTATTGCTTAGATTATAAACTCTCGGAAATCAAAAAAAACTATTCGGCGATCAGTGACGCTGCGTTAGTGTTTGGCAGGTGAGCCTCGTAGGTGGGCTGATTAATCAGTGATGATCTCAGTCAGACAAACTTTGAGCCATGAAACTTTTTGTTGGCGCAGCTATGTTGTATGTGTTTCTGCCGTTGTTCTACATCATTAAACCACAGTAATGCTGCGCGATCATGCGCAGTAGACGCTGGTGCCAACAGGAAGCAGCCCTGTATTTTATTGGTCCAAAACTGGCTTCACTGCTCTCCATTCAAATCAGCAGGGTGACTTCGTCCAGTAATATACTGTCTATGGTTTCCAACAGCCTTATTTTAAGTCCAGCATGCATCACGTTAAGTCAGCGCTGCGCAGCGCCACATGAAGTCAAACGCACCTATATAATCAAACTGGTTCATCCTCTGGGGAGTATGAGTGTGCTGAGAGACTTTACTGGGAATTGAGCTGTTTGTTATCATAATACTTCATGCACCAAAGTGTTGGTGAAGTGGGAATTTTAGCCTGATGGTGGCACAAGAGGAAAAGCCAGGAAGTCAATGAAATGATTATGAATTATTTGCTGGGGATCATGAATATCCAATTTAAGTCCCCTGAGATCAGGTCAGTGTGTGCTGGGATATTTCTGCTCCGGGCTAAAGTGTCAGCCAGACATCACTTTACACAGGATGTAAAAAGAAATAAAAGCAGATTAAATAAAACAAAAGTAGTGTGTTGATACTGAGGGGAGGAGGATGTGTTCGTAAAGGAAAGCGGAAGTCACATAAAGGTGTTTTTTACCTGTCAGGACGGGAGTCCACAACCCCCATCACTACAATCTTCATCCCCGGCCGCATCCCACCTGTGATGTGACCTCTGAAGGGAACTGACTGCATAATGAAGACAGAGAGATCACGCACACTAATTGTGATTAATTATTCTGGATCTAACTGCAGTGGAAGTGATAAAAATAAAAGATAAGAATGTTTGTGAGGTGAAAACAAGAGTAAAGAAGAAGAAGATATTTTGAGAATAAAGTGATCATTTACTAAAGACTGATCTTTTTCCTAAAACAAACTTTCCTGTTGAGTAAAGTGGGAAAATTTGATTACACTTTTTCTTCTTCACAAAATATCACAACTTTTTATTGTACAAATTTACAAATATTCTTAAAATTTTGTTGCTTTTCTTGTAATCAACATTATCTGGTAATAATAGGACTTTTCCAGAATTACGACTCAAAACAATCTACTCATGACACATGACATTTTTTCACCAAACGTTTGACTTTTATCTTGTAATGTGACTTTTTTCCAAAATATTATCACTATATATAATATAATTTTAAGTTGTGTGAAACAGAAAGAGTGTAATTTATTTAATTTATTGTTTTAATCCATTTTTTAAAAAAGTTTTCTTTAGTTGCGACTGCGCTGTTTGCAGCTTTTAAGTGATATTTTTTCAGATTAGAATTTTTCAAGTTGATTATATACAACTATAAGTGTTTATACTGTAGTTAATTTTTGCCAAGAATCAGGGCTTTCCCATTAAGTTAGCTTGACTGATAAATATTATTTTGTTGTTTTAATGTTTATCTGAATTTTGTTTTATAAAATCACTTGAAGTTGTTAGCATTTGCTTCACTCTGGTTTTCAGTTCAGTTTTTTCATATATGACCCCTCACAGTACAGAGTCTGTGTTTGTCAGCTCATCGTTTGATTTCAGAGTCGATGTTACCAGATTTCTGTCAGCATCTCTGTCAGCAGAACGAACACTCGGTTTACTTTCATCAGTCGCACTCCTCTGTGGAAAGACCCATTTCTGAAAGGGAACAAAAGGAAATCATTTTACCTTCACATCCAGAAATTCCTGCGGATATTTAGATTGTTTGAAATCAATTCACCCTTTGATTTTATTATTTATTTGTGAACAAATCGGCATTTCTATGGAAAAGAAAAGGGTTGGAAGTGGGGTTAAATCAGAATCATGAGTTCATCCTCTGGAGACCATGAGTATCCACAGATGTTTCATAAAAATCTGATCAGAGGGACTAACATCATTATTCTTCTCAGTGGTGGAAGAAGCACTCAGCTCCTTTACTTCAAATGTCGGGATTTTTAAACCCATATATGTTTGTGTTGAAATGACTCATGGATACAAAATGTTTTGAATCTGTGCAGTAGATGCTTCAGCCGGCAGCTGAAGCAGCTTCAGTGGTTGCAATTTATTAATCAGGGGCAATTCAACCCTCAAAATTAGGAGTTGTGTGCATAGAGGAACTGCTGTGTGGAAGACCACGGTTAGATTCCCCACATCCACCAATGTGTCCCTGAGCAAGACACTTAACCCCTTGTTGCTCCAGAGGCGTACGACCTCTAACGTCTAAAGCAATTGTATGTCCCTTTGGATAAAAGCGTCAGCTAACTGAGTAAAATGAAAATGTAAATGCGTTTCCTAATATTACTCCAGCACAACAAACTCCTCCCTCCAACTCTGACTCAACGTTTTCACCGGTATCTTCCTGCAGCAGTTCGCTTCTCACGAGATTTCAGAGCGAGAACTGTCCTTGAGCGAGACTTCAGTTTCCTGTTAAAAGCAATGGGGGTCACCACCGGGAGTCCCTCGTAGGGATCTTTTCCACGATGTTGTCAGACACCTGGTGTAACAGTCTGACAACTTTGCAGGCCCGATGGCCCTGATACGTTGCAGCTGCTTAGCATCTACTGCACGGATTCAAAACTTTTTGTACCTACTAGTGATTTCAACACCAATATATGTGAAAATAGGGCCCAGGTTTAAAAATACAAAATATTCTTTAAGTAAAAGAAATATAGAAGTATTACCAGCAAAAAGTACTTCAATTATCAGAAGTAGAAGTACTCATTATGCAGAATAGCTTCTTTCACAGAATTATTTTATTATAGAATATCATATTTTTACAACAAATACATGTAAGTTCCTGTGGATACTACTGAGTACATTAGTAGTACAGCACTGCATCATATGTGTTTTTATGTAATGGGTATAGTGACTATAAGTGTAGTAATAAATAATATACAGCACAGAATGGAAATACTCAAGTATGGTAAAGCATGTCAAACAAGAAAACACTTAAATCTGCATTTCACTTTCTTATTTAAAACGTACACTTTATTTTTGTGAAACAGGAACATCCCAATTAAATGTATTGATCCACATTTGAACATAAACATAAAAGCAAGTATCTAAAACTTGCAGCAGTATTTAGTGACATAATAAGAAAGTTATATAAAATGACCTAAAGACAGTTTGTACCCTTCAGAGAGTTTTGGGTAAAAATAAATAAATAAAAGCTCTGTGTTTAATGGCTGTTGCAGACTGATGTTGACACTCACAACAAGCGACTGACTGAAGTCAGAAGCACACCACCTCGTGACCGGCATGTGCAGCGTCAAGTCTGAATAAATTAATGAGTTCCTGTGTGCCTTCAAAATAAAAGCAGCTGATAGGAACACAGTGCTGCAAAGGTTCACAGATCATGTTAAGTTTTGAGGTGACAAAATGAAAACTGAAGAAGTAAATTGTAGTAGGAAATAATAAAAAAACAAAAGAAGAAGAGCACTGTTAAAAGCAGCTTTTCTTTTTATAAGTTTGTCCACAGGCTTCCTCCAGCTACTGTCCACAACACCTGGACATATTTCTGGTGAAGAAATACCAAATCCTTTTTATTTGAATTTATTTTCTGGGACAAAAACAAGTCAAATTTAGCAACATTGACTTAAATTATTATCAAAACCAGTCTGAAAATAAACCATGTATTACTTATGAGAAATTCCTAATTGTAAATTCAAGAGACAAGACCTGGTTTTCCCTTGAAGTGTTAAAACGGGTTAAAAATAACCAGCAGCAGAAAGCAGACATACTTTCTTTATGAACTTATTGACTACATTTTGCCGTTTATTTTCTTTTGTGTTATATTTAACTTCTTAATGACATTTAAATATTTAAAATAAACAACTCCTTCCACAGGCCTGATGAACAGTTAAATATAGTGTCAATAACCATGTAACACTAACACATCCATTTACCTCCACCTATTAGAAATGACATATTTCCATTCTTAAATACAAAATGTGATATTTCACCATTGTCAAAAACAAACCACGCACACTGGACATACTGTATATAGACATGTTATATAAACTGTACATATCCACCTTTATAAAAAGTTATCTGGCCTATACTGTGTTTAATATTTAATCTGTCGCAGTTATTGTATTTGTTTACAATTTACAGAAACACTTGACTTGTAGACAGACATTATGTTGTTGGTCATTTTATATATTTATATCGCTTTAAATCACTGTTAAAAACACATTACTTTTCTTTGGCTTTTCCTTCGAGTTAAGAAAGTTTTATTTTATTATCATTATATGTAATAGATTCTATGATATACTATGTTTTATTGCTGTAATTTTACCTTGTAATTCCTGTTTTTTGTTGTACTTTTACCCTATAAAGCACCTCGGGTGTTTTAAGTGTGCTATATAAATAAAGTTGATTGATGCTGATATATACCATATAATTTTTTCCCACCTACTTGTATTTACATAATGTTAATTTGTAATTCTTTGTCCAGCTTTGTTGCCTGTGTTTTTAGCTGTATGTCTATTTCTATCTCACTGTAAATTGTTTGTGTCTAATTCCTTGTAATTGTGTTCAAATACTTGCCAATGCCAATTAAGCTGATTCTGAAAATGCTGCCGTGCGGATTAACAGAGCTTTTATTTTGTTAATTCTGGCTGGAAGTTGCATTGTCTCATTCTGGGTTCAGCTTCACACTAGCTGGGACGCAGCAGGTTGACATAATTTCAAAACTAAGAAAATTTTCAGTCCAAACAGTCACCTGAGGAATAAAACAAATGTTTACAAATGTCAGTCTGAGATATCCCTCTGCCAGCCAGAGGGATATCTCAGCTGATCTCTGCTGCTGTGGTGGTGGTTTTATAATCTTTGACCAGCTGCTCAGGTGTGTAAACGTACCTTCCTGCCCTGCGCTGTCACTCTGTGCATCTCAGCCATGTTGATCTGACGGAAACAAACAGCAGAGAAATGAGCTGCAGGTCCAGTTTGTCCGCCTCCGACGTCTCCAGAGTCGACGCTGACGTAAAGCTTCAACCTGGCTCATTACCCTCCAACAACACACACACACACACACACACACACACACACACACACACACACACACACACACACACACACGGTCTGATAATCAGCTGCCCCTGCTGCATGCCTTTCTCTTTCAGGTCAATAACAAGTGAGCCTATTGTGGAGCTGGAGCTGCAGGAAAATATTAAATCCTCTGCAGGTTGGTCAAAGCAAAAGTGTTTTAAAACCTTTCAACAGACTTTATTTCTTCTTCTAAGTTCCTCTGACTCCTAATTCTAACGCAGACTTTCAAGTTAGTGGGAGTGTAAAAGCAAACAGAGAGTCAATATATTTATCTGTACGTCTGATAGCAGAGAGCAGAGTTCACACAGCCAGTGTTGGGGAGTAACTAGTTACATGTAATCTATTACAGGTACTGAAAATAATCATGATTACATTTACTCTTAAAAGCACGGCTATGTGTTGAATAATATTCACTTTGTTTCTTCATATTTTCCACATGCACACTGTCCTTCCTTTGCCGTTTCCAGTAAAGTTTGATGCTGGTCTGAGGCTGATTGGTTCTCATGTTTAAATTTGCATTGTGCATCGTGCATGTGGGACTGAGTCAGAATAAACCACAGTGTGTGTGTTCATGGTGATGGAGGAACATGTCACCCAGTGCAGCAGAGAGGCTCACTGATGGGTTTTAATAGTTTCAATGGCTCAGAGGACAAAGACATATCAGGCTGTGAGATACGTTCACTACTGGTTTTATTCTGCATGTGGGATTTGCTGACAAGAAAAGATTTGAATATCACCAGACTTATCCTCAAAGGTACATCTGAAGGCAGCTCCATGGTTAGGTTAGTTTCAGCAGTGACAGAAACACTCACCTCACGAGTCTGCAGCCGAGGAACGGAGTTTCATCTGGGTCTGCTCCATCTGTGGTTCTGCCTTCTCGTGATTCACAAAACGCTGAATAACTCTCCTTTTCCGTTTTTCCATGAAGAAAGTAAAACAATGAGAGGAAGCAGGAGGACATGAGGTCAAAGGAAAGGGCCGAGGCGGAGGAGGAGGAGGAGGAGGAGAAAGCAGCAGCACGACAGCAAATGCTCCATGTGCACTCAGAGGCATGTAAAGATTACTGCTGACTTGATCACTGAGTTTGTTTGTGTTATGGTGTGACTTTGGTGTTTTAAAGCCCCAAAGTCACACCATAACACAAACAAACAAATCGACCAAGCGACCTGTATGAGCTACATAGACATGCAGGGTATCAAATGAAAGGCCTGCTCAATCCGGATTGATTGATGCCCCCCAACCCAGTAGGATGTTCTCAAGTTATAAACCAAAAGAGTGCTTTTGGTCACAGGAATATTGATATTCACTGTTTTTATCAATATTTCAATGTTTTGGAAGCTTTATGTTATTTGTAACGTGGTTGTATGGACAGAAAAAGATAACTCCCAATAAAAGTCAACATGTAAACAGTAAATATTGCCAAAATATGGACATTCACCTGGTGTGTTTTTGAAAGATTGTATAACTGTTGTATTTTAGTTTATTCATCAAATTTACAGTTACAGTTGCATTCCAAGTGCATTAAAAGATTTTCAGTTGTATAATAATCTTCCTTATGATGGTTTTGATAGTGTATTGCATTAAAATATAGCTTTTTTTTACCAGGCGAGGATGAAAATATATTTTTCTTTATTGCATCTCCATTTAGTCTGTAATGGTAAAATAAATGTTAATTTACAATGGATTTATATTCCTTAGCTTCCGACCTTTCAAAGGAGACCAGAATTATGCATCTAGGCCAAATGGTTGAGGACCAAGCATCTCTCTCTTTAGGGATCCTTTCCATAATGTCATCAGACACTTGTAAAAACAATTTGAGTCTGTCGGTGCCAAATACGAACACTTAAGTAGACGTACTTTGACGGGGCGTAATTTCCTGGAAGGCTTACACTACATTACTGTTTTGCGACTGCAGCGTGCTCCCTCAATACTGGACCAATTTCACAAAATAGGTTGAAAGGTTAAACCATCTATCAGTTTGAAGAGCCTTCATTATAAACCTGACAAAGCACAATGTACGTATGTATGTTCTGTAGGGTAACAACAGTGGTAGTGTGATGTGTTCCCTGTTAGATCCTGTAACCTCAATAAGTGTCTGTAAATGTACAAAAAGGAGGAAAGGTGTTTAATTCAATTATAGGTCAAACTTTCAAGAATCCACAAATAAACAACAAAACAATTTTATTGATTTAAATCATCTGATATTTGTCCACTGTCAGCATAAATAGACCGATACAGCCAAGTTAACATAAGAGCTGCGACAAAATAAGGTAACTTTCTTCATCCTTTTCATTTTAAAACTAAATTGTTATTGTAAATTTCTATTAAAAATCGCATAAAACACAGCATCATCATGGTAAAAAAAACACACATTAAAAAAAACAATACAAACATTATTATTGTTTTTTTTTTACAAAATGGTAACAAGCAATAACAAACAGTATAAAATAAAATATAATAACAATTCCCTGACAAAACAATTCAAACAAAACATCAAAAAATACATTTTAAATACAGTAACTTGCATTTTCCCTTTATGTGTGTTAACCCGTAAAGCTCTCATTGGTCGACACAGATAGCTCTTTGTAGCCAACAGGAGTGCTGTGTTGTGTATCTTTAAGCAAGGCACTAAAGGACAACATTTTTAGACTTCTGGCTGCTTCGGTTGGGTACCGGAGGGTACAGATAAATAATTTGTGTTGTAAAAAAAATAAAATACAATTTTATGCACGCTTATGCTCGCACAATGATATCAAAACACTTCATCTGACCTCACAGATTAGTGTGCATTTGTGTTTAGCCGCTTTCCTACCTTTAATAAACTCTATTTATCTCACAATAATAACTTTAACTTTAATAATCCAGGTACAGTCAGTTTACTAAACAGTACACATTCAATATCTTTTTAAATGCTTTGCTTTCTGAGGGGCTCTGTAAACAACGAAGCAGACGTGTTTATACTGGTGCACAAATATGAGCCTTCACTATTCTGAAGATGCTCACAGAATAATTGTTCTAATACAAAGTGCTTTTACTTGGATGCATATGAATTAGCACCATTTTTTTGACTTGACAGGATGAAACTGCTCGTCCCAGTCGTCTAAACCGCTTTTCCCAGCAGGAAGGAGAACGACGCTCCCAGAGCCAGACCCAGAACGAGGAAGAAGGTCATCAGAGAGCCGGCTGTCTCACAGTCCTTACTCCGCACCAACCTGGAAACACACAGTTACAACATGTCCACACTCACAAACAGTAACAGCCATTTTGGTTTTTCATCATGGGAAAGAAATTTGTCACTAGAAACAACCTGTCCTCACTCCCAAGTTGTCACATATGGACGTATGGTCAAGACCAGATTCAGACGTCATGTCGTAACGCACTGTGGAGCCTTAGTGTCGTTTTCAGAAAACGGAGGGAATTAAAAGAAAGACTCACTGTGGAGCGTAGGCCATGCAGAGGCTCGCCAAGTATCCGTTGGAGAAGGAGAACAGGGCCATGATGAAGACGAAGGCAGCGTCGTGACGGAAGAGGATGGTGAGATTGGAGTTCGGGACGTTGCACAACATGAGCAGAGGGATGAAGAGCAGACGGGACAGCACAGCGGCAGGAAACAGAACGCTCCCCTTCGAAGGCTGCATGATACATCAACAGAGTCATTTAGGAACTAGGAATTAATACGACGATTAAAACGGAAATAGCCAGTGGGGGACAAAATATTCAGATCCTTTACATAAGTAAAAGTACTAATACCTCACTGTAAAAATACTCTGTTACAAGTAAAAGTCCTGCATTGAACTTATAAAGTGTGTAAGTATAATCAGGATATGAGACTGTTGTACTATTATATATTAGTTTGTTATTATTCCTCAACCATTAATGTAAAAGCAGGATGTTACTGCTGAGGGGGAGCTTATCTGAATTATTAATTAACTAATAATTATTTTCATTCTGAATCAATCTGCTGATTATTTTCTCCATTAATCGCTCAAAATGCCGTCACAGTGACCCAGAGCCCAAAGTAGTTCATAATGCTTGATGTGTCCAGCCAGCAGCACAAAGCTCAAAATTGTTACAAATATATTGTCTATGAAGATTCTCAGTCATCCAGGTCATAGTTATCCAACGAAGGTTAAAATCAAGGGCAACTGGACTTGGTTGAAGATACTGGAAGACGTTTCTTCCCTCATCCAAAGGACTTCTTCAGTTCTGACTGACTGGCAGGGAAACTCAGCTATTTAACCTCAGTGGGGTCGTTGGCCCGGGTCATCGATACCGCTGGTTCGTTAGTGTTCCTTGTTGCTGTGACGACAGTCGTTACAGTCGTTAAGACTACCTGTGGCCGAGGCTGAACGACCATCGTTGGTATCTTCACCTGTGGCCAAGACTGAACGACCATCGTTGGTATCTTCACCTGAGGACAATAGGTTACGTTTGTTGAGTTTCCTGGGAAGTGATGAAAGGACAGCATTGTAAGTGGGGGATAAGTGGTGGCGTAGACCCCCTCCCCTGTTCAATGACGGCTTCTCAACCCTGGTGTAGATGCTTCCTTGACACCTCTTTCAAACCATCCATCTTCTCTGTCTAAAATGTGCACCTGGTGGTCTTTGTAAACAAAGTTCGAGGACTGAAACTGGATCCAGATGAAACCATGGTATCCTATGACGTGACTTCTTTGTTCACCTGCATCTCCACCATAGAGGCAGTAGAAACCGTCAGGAAACGGCTAACACAAGACAACACCCTGGACAACAGAACTAGCCTCAGCCCTGACCAAATCTGTAAATTACTCAACCTCTGTCTAAACACCACCTACTTCCAGTACAATGGAGGATTCTACAGACAGAAGCAGGGCTGTGCCATGGGCTCACCGGTATCCCCGATTGTGGCAAACATCTACATGGAAGAAGTGGAGAATAAAGCCCTCAACTCCTTCAGAGGAACAGCACCGAGCCACTGGTACAGATATGTGGACGACACCTGGGTCAAAATTAAAAGCCAGGAAGTGCAAGCCTTCACAGCACACATCAACTCTGTGGACAGTAACATCAAGTTCACACGAGAAGATGTTCACAACAACAGTTTGGCCTTCCTGGACTGCACTGTCAAGAAGACCAACACTACAGGGGATGAGGAAAAGAAGGTCAAACGCAAAAACATTGTGATTCCATACGTGTCTGGAGTATCAGAGAAACTCAGGAGGATTTTCAACAAACACAACATCCCTGTGTTTTTTAAACCCAAGAACACACTAAGACAGATACTGGTCCACCCCAAAGACCGCACCCCCAAACACAAGAAAAGCAATCTAGTGTATGCGGTCCAATGCAGTGAGGAATGCACAGACCTGTATATTGGGGAGACTAAACAACCACTACACAAACGCATGGCTCAACACAGAAGGGCCAACTCCTCAGGTCAAGACTCTGCAGTCTACTTACATCTGAAGGACAGAGGACACTCGTTTGAGGACCACCAGGTGCACATTTTAGACAGAGAAGATGGATGGTTTGAAAGAGGTGTCAAGGAAGCCATCTACACCAGGGTGGAGAAGCTGTCATTGAACAGGGAGGGGGTCTACGCCACCACTTATCCCCCACTTACAATGCTGTCCTTTCATCACTTCCCAGGAAACTCAACAAACGTAACCTATTGTCCTCAGGTGAAGATACCAACAATGGTCGTTCAGTCTTGGCCACAGGTAGTCTTAACGACTGTAACGACTGTCGTCACAGCAACAAGGAACACTAACGAACCAGCGGTATCGATGACCCGGGCCAACGACCCCACTGAGGTTAAATAGCTGAGTTTCCCTGCCAGTCAGTCAGAACTGAAGAAGTCCTTTGGATGAGGGACGAAACGTCTTCCAGTATCTTCAACCAAGTCCAGTTGCCCTTCATTTTAACCTTTGTTGGATTACAAATATATTAAAATAGTTAAAAGGAAAAGCAGCAAATCCTCACATTTGTGGAACCATGAAATGTTTCCAATGTATAATTTCAATATCAATTAAATTATCCTGCCAGCTGTACTTGTATAAACTGTAATTTATGACAAAACATATTTTATTAACTCTTCACATGTTTTGTGTGTAAAAATTTGTAAAGTAACTGTCAGGTAAATGTAGTGAAGTAAAAAGTACAATATTTATATCTGAGATGTGGTGGAGGAGAAGTAGTAAGTGGCTTTCAAAGAAAATACTCAAGTAAAGAACAAATACAGTAAGTCAGTGTACTTAATTACTATCCACCACTAGAAATAGCAGGTAACTCCTGAGAGCAGGCAGCAGACTCACCCATTGGACGAGAGACGGGGTGCTGCGGCCGGCAAAGTCCATGGCGTTGAAAACGATGAAGCAGCAAACACAGGTAAACACTTTCTCTGTAACAGATGGAGAGCAGGGATGAATTAGTGAAGGATAAAACCACCGGACTTTGGCTGAAGCAACAAAGTCAGATGTAAAAGAGTTTCAGGTCTGAAGTGTCTGAACTAAGAAGCTGACTCTGCACTTCACATCCTCTGCATGAAGTCTCTTCAGTCAGAGACTCCCTCAGCTCTGCAGTAATAAGGACCGCTACAGGAAGTCATTCCTTCTCACTGCAATTAAAATACTCAAAGACTCGGCGTCTGAATGCTGTTTACGATTCGGAAACTCGTAATTACAGTAACTCTGATCTCATGTAAACACAGCAAAATGATGTGAAGTCTTACTCCAGGCGGCGTTGTCCGTGTAGACCGTCTGCACTCGGACTGTGATCACGGGAAACACCGACAGGGTGACGGCAAACACACACGTCACACACGCAGCCATCAGCCAGATCTGCAGCACACACAGGAACATTCAAGATTACTAAAAGGCAAACGTGACATTATACTAATTAGAGTAAAGTATAAATGTTTGAAAGTATTAAAATGTTAAAGTGCACGGTGAAAATATGGTTATTGATTGAAAAGATGATTAATGGTAACTGAGACAAAACTACTTTAAAATAGTTTCCTGTGTTTGTGCTCCGCAGCGTTGCCACACAGCAAAAGTAATCACTAAAGAAAACAAAGCAGATTTTGCCTGCGGTTGTTTTAATAGTTTTATATCGCCAGCAGGCGTTTGGGAACGCTGCTCTATGTGCCTCTACACATGTGACTACAAAGCCAGTTTATCACCTTCTACTATCAATAAAATATAGCTACTACTGATAAAAGCAAATCATTTCAATTAGGAAGTAAAATAAAATTAGTTATTAGGAAACTACAGATCTTATAAAAGTGTCTTACTTTAGTGTGTTACTCAAAATACAATTATTTTTCAATTGATTTTTAAATGATTCAAAAACATTTCTAAATAATGTTTTGCCAGCAGAATGTGTCAGTATTCAGTGATAACAAATTTTATTGTGACCACTACAGAAAACTGCAGATGAACATTTAATATCCAGGAATTCACATCAGCTACAAGAAGAGTCTGAAATTTAAATAAAAACAAGGGCTGATGTTATATTTGATTTGATGTTAAACAACCTCCTGTTTGTTAACTGTGTATGTATGTTGCATTTGATTTAGTGTTGAACAGGGCGCCGTTATGTTTTTTTAAATAAAATATGCACCAACATGATTTTCTTTAATCATATAATCATTAGAAACTAAGTATTTACTTGAGCCAGCTTTTAATAATAAATTTGTCATTTTAAGTCAACTATAAACTAAAAAATGTTTTTAGAGGATTCCAGCTCCTTCAATGTGAGGATTTGCTCGAACATGCTGCACAATCTTTCAGTTTGCTCGCTGTTTTTGGTCAGTAAGTTGTTTTATTTATTCTGTGACGCCTTGAATCCATCTTTTTTATATATTTATATAAATTCAAAAAATAATAATAATTATAATGGGACAAACAGTGAATGAAAAGTCGTTCACCTTCTTGAAGACAGCCAGGACGGAGGAACGCTCCTGACACTCTTCTGCCTCACTGGTGAGCATCCCGTTGGCCTCAAGGTCTTTGCCGTTGTTCAACACTTTTTTGTCTTTAAAAGGAAAAAACATTTAAAATGAATAAGTGATTTAGTTAATAATGTTATAATCCAAACTGACCTGGAGCCAGTAAGTGGAGTAAATATATTAACCTCACGAACAAATTCTTAACAGAGATTACTTGTGAAGCTAACTGACAAAGCTAACGTTAGCCTGCTATATATACGACCTTGGTAGAGGGAAGAGTAAACGGTCAACGTATCGGACCTGAAACTAATGATGGAGATCTTGAAATGTTTAAATTACATTTCATGAAATTAACAAAAAACCATAACATACTTCAAATTAGGAAACATTTTGATAATTACATTTGATTAAATGAATTAATAACGTCGCTAAGTTTAGCATAATCCGACATGTCCCACTTTCTGTTGATCATACAGTGACTTCCTCTTTACAAAGGTGATAGCTCCTGATTGGACAGCGCTACAGATGTTTCCTAGCATCTGATTCACACATTACTAAAGTCTATACTAGTTTAGACATTTCTTAAGTTTTCGTTTAAACCTGATTTAATAAATCACTAGTTTAGTCAAAGACAATCCTGGACCTCTGACTTACATCAGCTGAATCCCTGACCTAAAATTATCACGCTGCTAAATAATACTGTATAAGTGAACCGACCTGTACTGTTGAGGATTTCCTGCATCGTCTCCTCCTTTTCAGACTGACTTCTGTTCAGGTAAAAACGAGCAAATTCCTGCAGAGGAGAGTCAACAATGTCAGAAGATTGTACTGTGAGTTCTACAGAGCCCCTGAAGTCTTGAAAGATTAAAGATTAAAGATATACACTACCGTTCAAAAGTTTGGGGTCACATTGAAATGTCCTTATTTTTGAAGGAAAAGCACTGTACTTTTCAATGAAGATAACTTTAAACTAGTCTTAACTTTGAAGAAATACACTCTATACATTGCTAATGTGGTAAATGACTATTCTAGCTGCAAATGTCTGGTTTTTGGTGCAATTTCTACATAGGTGTATAGAGGCCCATTTCCAGCAACTATCACTCCAGTGTTCTAATGGTACAATGTGTTTGCTCATTGGCTCAGAAGGCTAATTGATGATTAGAAAACCCTTGTACAATCATGTTCACACATCTGAAAACAGTTTAGGTCGTAACAGAAGCTACAAAACTGACCTTCCTTTGAGCAGATTGAGTTTCTGGAGCATCACATTTGTGGGGTCAATTAAACGCTCAAAATGGCCAGAAAAACAGAACTTTCATCTGAAACTCGACAGTCTATTCTTGTTCTTAGAAATGAAGGCTATTCCATGCGAGACATTGCTAAGAAATTGAAGATTTCCTACAACGGTGTGTACTACTCCCTTCAGAGGACAGCACAAACAGGCTCTAACCAGAGTAGAAAAAGAAGTGGGAGGCTGCGTTGCACAACTGAGCAAGAAGATAAGTACATTAGAGTCTCTAGTTTGAGAAACAGACGCCTCACAGGTCCCCAACTGGCATCTTCATTAAATAGTACCCGCAAAACACCAGTGTCAACATCTACAGTGAAGAGGCGGCTGCGGGATTCTGGGCTTCAGGGCAGAGTGGCAAAGAAAAAGCCATATCTGAGACTGGCCAATAAAAGAAAAAGATTAAGATGGGCAAAAGAACACAGACATTGGACAGAGGAAGACTGGAAAAAAGTGTTGTGGACGGATGAATCCAAGTTTGAGGTGTTTGGATCACAAAGAAGAACGTTTGTGAGACGCAGAACAAATGAAAAGATGCTGGAAGAATGCCTGACGCCATTTTAAGCATGGTGGAGGTAATATGATGGTCTGGGGTTGCTTTGGTGCTGGTAAGGTGGGAGATTTGTACAGGGTAAAAGGGATTCTGAATAAGGAAGGCTATCACTCCATTTTGCAACGCCATGCCATACCCAGTGGACAGCGCTTGATTGGAGCCAATTTCATCCTACAACAGGACAATGACCCTAAACGCACCTCCAAATTGTGCAAGAACTATTTAGAGCAGAAGCAGGCAGCTGGTATTCTATCGGTAATGGAGTGGCCAGCGCAGTCACCAGATCTGAACCCCATTGAGCTGTTGTGGGAGCAGCTTGACCGTATGGTACGCAAGAAGTGCCCATCCAACCAATCCAACTTGTGGGAGCTGCTTCTGGAAGCGTGGGGTGCAATTTCTCCAGATTACCTCAACAAATTCACAGCTAGAATGCCAAAGGTCTGCAATGCTGTAATTGCTGCAAATGGAGGATTCTTTGACGAAAGCAAAGTTTGATGTAAAAAAGATCTTATTTCAAATACAAATCATTATTTCTAACCTTGTCAATGTCTTGACTCCATTTTCTATTCATTTCACAACGTATGGTGGTGAATAAGTGTGACTTTTCAGGAAAACACAAAATTGTTTGGGTGACCCCAAACTTTTGAACGGTAGTGTGTGTATAAACACAGGTGCATCTAAAAAAAAAAAAAAAAGAAGAAGAATATAATGGAAAAGTTTATTGTGAGCAGCAATAGCAGACTGAGAGTTTAAAGGCTCAGGAAACCTTTGCAGGTGTTTTGAGTTAATTAGCTGATTATTATTTTATTTATTTAAAAGAGACAGAGCTGGACAATAAAACAATAACAATAACTATCGCGATATAATTATTTTCAATAAAAATATAACAAATGTTCAATAAATGTTTGATTTTATTCACTGGAATCACACAAGAATTAGGACTTCATTTTTTATTAAGATGTTTATGTTGTTGAGGAAAAAGGACTGAAAAAAAGCTTAATTTTACTAGTGCATATTTGATTTTATCATAATTGTTTTGAAAGTTCTACCTCAGATTTGTAAAGTGATCCACTGCATCAAATGTTGACCATAAAGAAGTTTGAAAAACAATAAACCATCAGGTTTCTTCAACTTTCACTCAGGAGAGAAAATCAGCCTTTAAACTCGAAAGGAAAAAAACATTTGAAACTTATGATATCGACAGATATTAAACTTATTATTGTGATAACATTTTTGGCCATATCGTCCAGCCCTACAGACAGTGCATATTAATGAAGATATTTGCTTCTTAGCAATTTAAAAATGGCAGAATTGGCCTGAAGGCTATTTTCCATGAGCTGTCCCAAGCAGGTCACAAGGTGCAAAACAACAACACAATAAAACCACATATTAAATATACAATGTAAAGATACCACAATGTTCTATACAGGGTTATGTCAATTAAAGTGCTCTATATGCAGTAAAGTGCAAATTAACGTATTAAAGTGCCTTAGCTCTTCTCAGGTCAACATGTCTGTATTATAAATTCTTTATTATAGAATTCTAATAGTTTTGAGGTTCTGGAGTTTTTCCCTGAGCTGTAAGACGGCTGTGTTTGAAACGGGCTAAACTGCTATCTCAGAAGGTGTCTAATAGGACAGCGAGGCATCAAGCGATGTTCCAAGCGGCTCGAACGATCTTCCTGTCTCCTGAGATGACTTCAGACTGCCCCTGTAACGGCCGATTTTGAATGATGCTGCCTATTACCCATAAAGCAACGCGGCCGCAGTAGCTTTCGAAAACTGGTCAAGATGGCGGACAAACAAGCCGAATTTGTACACAAATATACGTTTTTATATATATTATATGATATAAGTTTTTAGTAGTTTTCTCGCTTCGATTTTTGAAAATCTAGTGAGAACTAAATACTGAACTATCATATTAGCCCGTGACTGTAACCAACCAAGTTTGTTCAGTATGACTTCTGAGGCGTCTGTTAGCCATTTGCCTTTTCAATAGCTAGTTAGCTGATGCTAAAGCTAGTGTCTCTTCTGGCTGTCAGAAGAGACGCAAGACGGCGTGCTGACGTCACACGTTGCCGTAAGTGCTGCCTTAGAAGGCTGTTGGAAACTATAGTAATGTAAGCAGCTGCCTTCACCTGAAAGTGATGCCTTCAAACTACTTAACAAATAAGTCATTTATTGTGTAAATCAGTGATAGGCCAATGAATCGCAATATATACACAATATATAACTTATTTGTCAAGTAGTTTGTTTAATTAATTTAGACATTATTTTCATTAGTAGCACTTTGTATGATAAGTAGCACTTTGTATGGGCGGCTGTGGCTCAGGGGGTAGAGCGGGTTGGCCGTTAATCGGAATGTCGGCGGTTCAATCCCTGGCTCCCCCTGGTTGTGTGTTGAAGTGTCCTTGGGCAAGATACTGAACCCCGAATTGCCCCTGTTCCGCCAGTGTATGAATGAGTGTGAATGTTAGTTTCTGTTTGAGCACTCAGTGTATGACTGGTGAATGCAGATGTAGTGTAGAAACTTTTTATTAGACCCTGTTTGATTTACTGATTTTGACATATTAGGATTTAAAATCAGATTAGAAGAAGAAATAAGCTTTCTTCAGATTTCTATGGTATTTCATGATGTATGTACAGTTATTTTATTTTTACTGTAAAGCACTTTGTGAGCCCTCTTGTCTATGAAAGGTGCTACATAAATAAACTTTGTTTACTTACTACTTACTTATCTGCTGTTATAAACACACCACCGATTAATCTGAAATTATCTTATATCTGTGGATAATATCGGCACACCGATTTATCAGCCGATTTAAAAAATATAAACGGGTGAAAACAAGGTGAACAGCTGGATTTATCTCACTCCGACACAGTTTTAGGACCGGAGATGAATGTTATGTTAATGCAGTGTGTCTGAGCGTGTGCGGTGTCCTCACCAGGTGTGGCAGCAGCAGGTAACACAGCAGAGTCCCCAGAGTGGCGACACACGGCGTGATGAAGTATCCCAACGCAGCCGAGTCTTTCTCAGCGTTACCTGCAGGGGAAATGAAACACTTTATTCACATGAAGTGAGTACACTCTAGTTAAATGTTTTTTGTTTTTTTTACTTTACAGACCAAATTGTTAATCTATTAATTACAAAAATTATTGGCAGGCTGATGAAAATAATAATTAGTTGCAGCCCCTTTTTTCTGAAACGTAAATTCAATTCTCCAATTTAAAATCTGAAACTCATTCAGAGAGGGAAAAGGTGCACCTGCTTTGTACTGACGAGTCCCAAACCAGCTGTTCAGCAGGTTGTCAGCACAGGTCCTGCAGAGCAAAGTTAGGTTGTGTTACTTACTTAAGATGGAGAACAGCATCGCGAGTGCAGCGAAGATCCCGGCCAGAGCCTGACCGCTCATGAACAGAGTGCTGTATCGTGGAGGAAACAGGCCGACCATCCCGAACAGACTGCCCTGCAGCACCGCACTGAACACTGCACGCACACAATATAAGCAAAGATTATAATAAAATACATAAAGTAGTAAAGCATTATGCCTTTAAGGCTGGTGATGGTGCAGAAGATCTGGATCCACTGCAACACATCCACCAATATGTCCCTGAGCAAGATACTTAATCCCTAGTTGTTTTACAGAGGCGTGCACCTCTGACATATAAAGCAATTGTAAGTCTCTTTGGATAAATTTCTCAGCTCAATAGTGTTACTTTCGTCAGACGAAACTAAACGAAATATATTTGTCAACTACCTTTTTACCCCTGACGCACACCAGGCAGTGATGATGTCCTTAGACGCCGACTGTGACTATATTAACATGCAATATTGTTGCCGAAAAGTGACCAGACTAAAATGTAATTCATAAAAAAAAAAAAAGGTTTATAAAATCTCTCTCCTATTTTGTTCCTCTAAATTTTCACTTGAACAGTGTTTTCAGCGTGTTTTCTTCTTCCTGTGTCGACCTGGGGCGATGGCTGGTGCGCGAAGAAAACGTTACGGTGAAGGATGTGAACTCTGGTGATGAAAACAATATGCTAGGGAGAAAGAGCTGCCCGCTGTGAATGGCTCGTAATCGTTCCCTCTGGCTGGATGAATATTACCCATGATCCATGTAGGCCTACTACTGCAGCTGGGGGCCTTCTGCAGGGCCACGCAGCTTTCTAAATTCTCCCCTCTCATGAAGAAAAGAAAGGTCAGGTCGCAAACACAGCCGAAGCGTAATTATAGCAAAATGGATAAATTTAATATTTATTATTATAACTATAGTAAGACAAACATGCCTGATACTTCCACAGTCGGCTGACACTCTGTGCAGCTTCACGTGGCTTAAGCGCAAGCCGAGAACTGCATCTTCAGGGAGGCGCTGCGCCTGATGGACTTCCAAGCACTGACTAGAAGGGCCGCAACCAGCTGCAGCGCTGCTGTCTATTGCCAGCAGGAGTGTGCGTGCCCTGCCAAATTGCCCTCTTGCCTGTAGTTCTTGATTTGATATGCAGCAGAGTTTTCCATGAGCGGAGCACGCACTTCAAACAGCGATATCGCCGTCGATCATGTTCATTTAATTGTGGGAAGCTATAATCGTAATTGTGATCAATATTCGATTAATTGTGCAGCCCCCCAGCAAACACAATCAAGATAAGGGTGAACAGCCTTTACACCTCTACCACACCAGCTTTATGCAAGAGGGTCCAACTGCAGACCTCCACTGTCAGGCCGATCAGGACAGGAAATACACGTAAAAACGACAAAATAAAAGCGTGCAATTTGACAGGAAACAAATCGTAGACATAGGGAGAGGGTTTTTGTCGTTGATTTTTATTTAATTACTTAGTTACATTGTAACGGGAAGCTAGCAGGTAATTCCTACAGCATATTGATTTGAGCCTATTCTACTTAGCACTTAATGTGCCAATGTAGCAACAAAGCCCACTGTATATCAATATATGACGTTAATTCCGTCCATACAGCCACATCCATTCACAGAAAAACATCGTCGTTGATTAAGAGTGTAACTTAGCCTCTCTTCCAGTCATCCTAAAAGAAACATACACACACTTCTCATTCATAATTTACCTTTTTAGAGTAATATACTATGGCATTTTACTGCTATCAGCTGAATTTACTAGGAAAAACGGACAACTGTGGAAACTGGACTACAATTTGAGCTTCGTGGGAGTCTAGTATAACGGATGTTATTGGCAGGGATTAATAAATAAATAATAGAAGAATGGACAGAGACTTCATTTCTCATTACGTGGTCAACACTTTCTCTCAAACACAGCAGCCCACTACTTGCCCCAGATGTGTGTGATACTGCAACAAAGTTCAAGTTTTAAAAGCCTGAAATAAACCAACAGAGACCACTGCTCAAGGAGAGACGCAAACCCGCCCTTTATGGTATGTTAATTATTATTAATCATGTCGTAATGACATTCATGCGGTGCGCAGCATAGTTTGTTTGGAAAACATGTTCATTTTAGTGTCTTTATCTTATTAATATAATGTACATTTGTGATTAAAAATAATGGTTGTTGGTAAATTAATTACTGACCCCCACAGATGCATGTTTTTACTGCTTCAACAAGAGCTCAGACCCTCCTATAGACCGTAACTAGAACCCTGCTGGACTCTGTGGACTGTCAAACTGTAAAAATGAACACAATACAACATGTATACCTGTATCGATAATTTTGTAAATATCCACTTTTTAAAAATGAATGGAGACAATAGCCTACTCTAACAATACTTTTACTTTATTCACTGTACACACACAGATTACACAGTTATAAAAGGAGTAGGCAGCAGTGACTGATTTGCATTATCCAAAACATTTTTTTAAAGTCTGAATGCATATATCTACCACTATCAATATTTGTACATCTAAATGTTATGAATCCTGAGGCTGCTTCAGTCAGCTGTGTTGAAGCAGGGAGAGAGTAAATCATGCAGGACTGGGGGAAACTTTCTTCAGGAAAGGGATGGGAAACACTGTCGTAGTACATAAACTTCAATTCAACTAAGATCAATTCGTACAGCCAGCAAAGTCTTTGCACACTGTTTAACGTTAAGTGTGAAAAGCTACACCGAACGGTCTAAACGATATAGATTTTTATTTTATCTTCTTTTGGACAAATAACTAGTGAGTGTCGTCAACATGTTAAGACAAATGCAAACCTATGCCCTTGCAAAATGCTTTACAAAAACAAACACAAAGTAGCTTCATACAGTATGAATATCTTACGTTATCCAAAGGATAAAAAAAGCTAATCCTGCTACTTCAGGAGCTAACGCTAGCCGCCGTTGGCATAGCCTAACGTTACCTATGTAGAACGACAAATAACCTAACTTACACACGTGTAACATTCTGTAATTTGTGTGATTTAGATGTACAATATTGACAGCGGTAGCTATTGACGGCGACCATATACCAAGAGCAATGCATTCAGACTTTACTCAATTTTTTGGATAATGCTAACCAGTCACCTACCACTGTCGCGATGTGTAGAGTAGCAAAACAACAGAGAATGCATCACGTTACTTCCTGTGGAGACGTAAAAAACTGACCGGCCTGACAGTTGAAATCTGCAGTTTCACCCCTCTCGCTTCATGTCGAGTAAAGGTAACCTAGTATTACGTAAGAGCAGTGATATTAACTAAAACTGAGCAGGATAATCAATTAAAGGACTTAATCTTTTCAACTGCAGTTCAGCTTCTACAATTATGGGGATCTCAACTCCAAGGTTTACATGATGTGGATGTAAAGACGTTCAGTGCCAATGTTATAGTTCAAGTGGAAAAACTGGAAAATTAGGGATTGAAATGAGGCACCGAGGCAGAGCAGGTTCAATCCAAACTGTTTCAAAAGGTACAAACTGTCACCCCCCCCCCCATGTAACCCCTGCCACTGTGACATCTGGTATGTCAGTGCATGGTGTGCTTTGTCTGTCTGTCGGTCTGCAGTGTCTACCTGGGCGGTGGCGGCAGCTGGGTCAGTGTTGGGGTTAGTAGGGTATATTTCTATCTCTAGTCTAGGTTATTTCTTATTTAACCAATTTAATAAACTTCAAATTCATTCTCAACTAATGAAAAATGGGTCACCAAATATACCTGGGCAGTTGGTCCGCCCAAGTAAGTCTGTGTGTGGGAAAGACTTGTATGGGGTTGGTAGGCGTAGCCTTCAACTTCCCCGGTTGGCACTTTTACACACCTGACTACAATAGCCCCTGACACACCCTACTTAAGATCAGACCCACCTTTCACTCCCTGCCTGACCTTTGTGTCTTTTCAGTACACTCACGCACCGGCCCTACTGGTGTGCTTTATCTTAGAAACGTTGCTTGTTCTGAGAATCAGTCTGTTTGCCTACCTTTCTAACTGGATTTTCCTGTCCACAGGACCTCCCCTGCAAATCTTACTCTTTGCATGTTGGATTACCCAGCTCACTCTGCCTTCCACTGAACTCACCAGACCTCTTCCTGGAACAACAGCTTCACCCTCCTGCAAGCAAAACCCCACCGGCACACCTTCAACCCAGGACCCAAACCTATTCCAGCCTCGCTCTTTTTGTTGTTTTTTTCAATAAATAACTTTTTCTCACCTACTCCAGTCTGCTTTTGGGTTCAGACTCTGATACCTGACACAAACAGGGTAGTCAGGCTGGAACGCGTCAAACCCAGACGCACAGTCCAGAAAAAACCCTCGGAAAACACTAGGAGCAGCAGGTATGCTAGAACAAAAGAACAACGAAGACGAACTCACAACAGACAAGGGGAGCACACAGACTAAACCCAAGCAATAACGAGACTTACTAACTGGGACAGGACAGACACAACACATTCTCACTCCCAACTACTTAAATAAGTTAAGTAACTTTACTTACGTAACTTAAATACATTCAATGTTAACTTTTTGTTTCACACGGGAAACAAAGACCGATCTCTAGGGTCAAAGTCCGGTTTCTGGCTCACCATCCACCCCAACCACCTCCTTACTCTGACTTTTGTGTTAAATATCCTACACCTACCTTTAGTGTTCATAAATGACACTACGGGGCTTCCACCACTGCACTGAACTATGACGCTAAGGGGCTTTCCAGCGCATTACAAACTGATGCCAACAGGTCTTGACGTCCATATGTGACGACTGAAGAACGTGCTTACAAGGCATTATGAAACAGGCTGACTCCTGTCCTGTTTGTCCTGAAAATTAGACTTAACATGGGTTTTGATCATAGCCTAATTAATCATTAAATACTGATCGTTGTTACAGGTTATCTGTACATTGTGTCAACAGCGTTATGTTATAGCCACAAACAACTGCTCTTTTGTTTTCTTGTGGTTAGTGGAAGTTACAGTTGCAACGACAGAAAAAGTGTAGCTTAAGGCAGCCATGGTGGAGAGATCTTCCATTCAAATCAATTCAGTTTTATTTATATAGCGCCAAATCACAACAACAGTTATCTCATAACGTGATTTTCACGTGTGTTAATGTTTATTGAATGTACCGGTAGCCACGAACCCCCCCGCCCTCATCCCGAATTTCATCCATTCTCATCTGGTCACCCTAGGCAAGGGTCAAAACCAGGCACACAGTGCAAAAGGACATAATAAATTCAAGCAGAGAGCAGACAAAATCAAAATCCAACAAATAAGACATAAAGTTCAAAACACAAGACAACAAAGACGAAGTGGCAACTAAAAAGGGGAAAACACTGACTTAAATACAGCAGTGAAGGGGAGATAGCAAGATACAGGGACTCTTTCTAAATTAAATAACTAAACCAACATTCAACTTAAAGTTGATGTTAATAAACTCACCGTTGATGAACCAGATGGTTGCCATGGTGACGGAAAAGAAAGTATCTGGCTGCATGTGCACCGGGACCAGAGCGGCGGTGACGGAGAAGAGGAGGAAGATGACGATCAGGCTGGAGGCCACGCGGAGACCCTCCCTCACCCTGCGGAGAGAAGATCACCGACCGACATCGAGTTTGTTCACGCCAGCAGGTTTCAGCCTCACGCATGTGAAACTGTGACGGTTTACAGCAGCGTGCCGTTAACTCACCACTGATACAGGAAAGAGTTGAGCAGGGTGAACAGCAGCAGGGGCAGCTGGGAAAGCAAGGCCATCCAACTGTCATAATTGTAGTCTTTAGCAGCAATGCCTGATGTGCTGTTGGGGGTGTTATCACCTGCGAGACGCCCGTTGAAATACTTAAACAAAGAGAAAGAAGAAAAACATTATTATAGTATATTATAGTAGTAATTTTGATTCAGAATTGTCCTTTATGGTCAGGTGACTACAGTACAGCTCTGAGACACGTGACCAGGATCAGGTCTTTCCTCTGCAGGAATCCTTCTCCTTTAAATCTCTTCTTAAAGCAACATTATGTAAGATTTGGTTCTGCATTTGTTATGATCACATTCCTAATGATCAAAAACTAGCAAATCGATAACTTTGCTAACAGACATCAAGCACGTTAGACAACACAGGGCCACAGCGATATTACCAACTAGTCCAACAGAAAGAAGTCCAGCTTGCCAACAACCAGCAGCCTCTTGCTCGGTCTATGGCTGCAACTAACGATTATCTTTCTAGTCGACTAATCTGCCGATTATTTCCTCCATTAATCAATTAGTTATTTGGTCTACAAAATGTCTCCTGAGGCCTCAAATGTCTTGTTTTGTCCACAACCCAAAGAGATTCAGTTTACTGTCATAGAGGAAAAAGAAACCAGAAAACAATCACGTATAAGAAGGATTTTAAGAGACTATGGTGGGTGGACCTTGGACCCCCGCCCCCCGGAATAAAATTTTGTACATTGTACAAATTAAGAGGCTATCTAGGCAGAACTTTGTACTCTTGTAAACAATGTTGTGCTCTAGTATACTATTTGATCATAAACCCGTTATAAATGGTGAAACAGCAATAAAAGTCAACAAACTTATTTAATGTTTTTCAAGCAACCCTAAATCAAAGAATAAAAAATACAATAAGTAATTTCCCTAACATTTTTATTGGTGTTGGTTTTTTACTTTTAATGGACACATGTAATATGTGTTAAACGAAAAGTGGTTGTCTGGAGTCGAATGCCAAAGTGAGGGAGCATGCGAGCTCACTGCAGCGGCCACAAAACACAAAATTACAGGTCTGAAATGTTATTATCAGATGTGTAAAAATATTTTCGGTTCATTTGGAAACCATGGCGGAACAAATTACACTGTGGCGTGCCGCCGTGGTCTCGTTAATCAATGGGAAACACTGGATTAATCAACTAATCATTGCAGCTCTAACTTAGTCACTCTCTTTTTCTCTTCCTCTGTCAGCATCCTCTTCAGTCTCTTCACCTCAGCCGTTGGGTGGCGAGTTAGCCAACAAAGCTAGCAACCGACGTAAGAGCACTTACAGTCACGTTACCGATGTCTGAGTGTGTTATCTAGTAAGTTTATCAACATCAACTTCAAATTTATAGCAAGCGGCTAAACTTCTGTCTGTGAAAATTCTGTCTGATTTACTTTGCTAACAGCCAAACATCAAGCAACAACACAAGACACAGACTACATTATGTTGCTTTAAGAATCAATTTTATCATGTTTTTTTCTTAATGACAGTAATGACAGTAATTTTTTTTGTATGGTATTTAATATTATCTTTTGCTCTGGATCTTTTTTGATTTAGGCTGCTTCCAAAAAGTATTTTTTGCTTAGGAAGGTTCCTACTGAGTGAAGTGACCCGGAAGTATTTCAGTGGCAGCCACGATAAGAGCTGTTCGAATTCTCTAAAAGCTAAGGATAGGAGCCTCAATGCTTCCTTTCATTACACCTTTAACATAGGTACACCTGACCATCCTTTTTGAAAGGAAAGGAGAGAATGCGTCCAGCAATTCCTTGCGGCAGCGTCATTTAAAGCAACGCACATTCTCAAACTCAAACGATAAAATCCATCGACCACATTTAGCAAACTCCTTGCAATACAGACGCACATTATGATACTTTAATAAGACTCACAATTTCCTTCTTTCTTTTGGTTTGTTTTCTTTTCGCTTTGCTGTAATCTGATACTGTTTCGGCACTTAAGTTTTAAGGTTGCTGAAATATGCTATAAAGTGTTTTCTACAATAATAAAAAAGAGAAATCACCGACCATGACGGATAGTTGATCAAGTTACCAGTGGCTATTAAGCCTTTTCTCTCTTATGCCAGAACTCCCTAATGGGCTATGCATATGTCTTGAACTGTCAACAATACCGGAGACCCACGCGAGCTGATCAAAGTGAGGATAATGTTGCAGCGTGTAGGTTCACCTTATGTATTTCCAGCCTTCAGCAATATCATTAATTGATTTTACTTCAGTCACAGATGCTGACTCCCTCTCCTTAGTAAAGGCAATGATCCAGCTGGATGACCTCTACAGTAAATGTAATGTATTATTTCAGTGTTTCCCACACACTGATTCATTTGTGGTGGCCCGGCACGTTATCAACGCTGATGATGTTTTCTTTCTTCTATCTAAAATGGACAACGTATCTGGTGGGTGGGCAGGAGGGTGAGTGTGAGCAAGCATTCTCAATGTGACTGGTCCCCTACAGTCCTTTTTACTATCTTGATTTTGAAGTAATATATTCCACCTTTAGATGGCCTGCATTAAAACAACACGCAGTGTCAGAGATGCGCTTTTTGTAGTCCATCTTCAGAACATTGTAGTTTCATCACGGCAGGTCACGTCAGTAACATCTGCCGTCACATAATTACGTCGCCTAGAAAAGAGCAGTTGGATTCCCTTAGACCCGTCGTCCTCTTTTCCTAAGTCCTTACGGATTCTCCTTCACATCTTTCCTTGACCTCATGACGTTTTCCATCGAGGTCAAGGAAAAGTGGTTAGGAAAGGAGATTTTTTTTGACTTTTCAGACGCAGCCTTAGTTTATGTTTATTAAAGAAAAGCACTTTGTAACTTTGTTTGAGCCGTTATTATAATTTTTATTATTATTTAACGGCCAACATATAAGTGTAAGTAAGTCTTTGGATACAATCTACAATCTTGACCAAAGGACATTTTTCATCATGAAGAAGAAGAATATGTAGGAGTAAAACCTGAGAGGCCGTCATGAAGAAGTTCCAGGGCAGAAGAGTTCCCAGACCGAGCACAAAGATGATGATGGCCACAGCATGGCCGCTGTGGAAACAAAACACGTTATTGACCTGAGCTGAGCTAAAGTACTGCGACTTTGTCTGAATATGCTCAAGACATCGAACTCACCGGTCGGCAGGTCGACTGTATTTACAAGACATGCTGTTGTTTCCGTTGATGTTTTTCTGCACAAAAGTCAAGAGAAGTCTCTAAATAAACAACTCAGGTGAAGTGTTTTTAAAGTACCATAAGTACCATATAGATTTGTTTGAGTTTTCTCATATCTTATTTGATTATTTCTACTATTATATATATATATATATAAACTGTTTCAGTGCATCGCATTGTATAAACTGATCATGTTTTCTATGTAAAATGTATATTTTACTTACATTTATGTACATGTAAGACATTTTGCTAATTATAGTTTTACACTTTGTATGTTGTTTTGAGTGCAAACGTCAGGTTTTCTATGGCCAGGAGTCTTCCCTAAGTAAGTCCCTTAACACTTTTTAATAAAGAAGAAGCCATTTAAGCCAATTAAGAAAAAAATGCTATGACCAATCTTTATTTAAGTTTTTTAAAAGTTGCATACAAATAATTAGGTATTTTCATTTACTTAGTACTAAAGTCCTCTTTTATAAATGAGTATAAGTTTGAGTCTTTGCTCTCAGAAGTGTATTTAATGTGACTCATCTAATCTGTGACTCATGTTTTGTCCTGAAAGTTAACATTTTATTTATTCGGGCGGGGAAAGTTGTTTTGGGTGGGTTGTGATAATTTGGGTTGCTATTTTGCCATGTGGGTGGTTCAAAGTTCGGCTGTATGAAAAATTATAAACTGGCCCCTTTCCTCCAGTAGCAACAGCTTTTTGCAATAAAATAATGTTTTATATAGGCTAACTCAAAGACTATCATCTTCTATTATACATTTAATTTTTGTTGTAACTGTGGTTTTGATTATACTGAAAAACAGAAGATCGGCGGCGACAGGACCGATTATTTTTCTATACACAGGCGAAATATAGCCTGTAGTCTGTAATAAAAACTTACATATTAATTCATGTAAATTGCTGTGGCCAACATGTGGCCGGTTAGGAAACTTAACGTTACTTTGTTAGTTGGGACATTAATTTTTGGTTACAGATTAGATTTAACCCAATTAACGTTAACAGTCAATCCGTTTGTGTGTAAAAACTGTAAGTAACTTTTAATTCTCCTGAAAAGAATTATTAACGCGCCTTCCTCCTTTATGGCGCCTTCACATCTTTTCAACACGTGTAGCAAGACTTAATGTGGTAACCCATTCAGAAGTCCATATGAAAATCATTATATTTAGGTAAAAATGATAAACACAAAGTAGACAGAGCTCACCGTTATCAGTGATCGCGGGTCGCAGACAGGTGGACCGGTCCAGTCTGAAGATTTGAATGAATGACACAATGGCAGCGCGCGGAACTGTGGAGGCGGGAGACCTTCGCGCTGCCTTCCGCATCTGAAGACCTGCAGACACTTCACGTGGGCGTGTCTTAGCTGGAGTATGGGGGATGTTTAAGGCCAAAAAAACATAACAACATAAAACTCTGAGTTACACCGCTAAAGATAAACTCAGGACTTTCAGATACAATTTGGATTTGTAAGATTCTCAAAACATTAATTAATTATTAGTCCATTAATTTTATAAAATCAATGCAGTAACTTAAGTCAGTAAAAAGAGTTACTGTTTGATAAATGACTTATGAGACCATCAAACAAGCTACGCTTGACTGGGATCTATTGATATTTTTATAAATGGGACTCTTAAATATATATGTATAAATTGTTTTGTAATTTTGAGAGTTTGAGTATGAGCAGGTGCTCAGGTTAAATGTAAAGACAGAACAACACAGTAATTTTAGCTTAAATCATTTTAATTTTAGCAGTAAACTGATAACATTGTCTTTGGGGTGCCACAGTAACAACACCGTAAATACATTTCACGCAATAAAAAGTTGAACAAATGTTTCACTTTCATGATGTATGGGTCTGTGTTTCTGCACATTGGTGTCTTTGTGTTTGTTCTGTTTTGTGTGTAAAGTAATTAAAAATGATGGTCTTTCATGGATAAAAACATTTCTGTGTAACTTACGTTTTACATTTTTATTCATTTAGCCAACAATTTTATCCAAAGCGACTTACAACTGCTATACATGTCAGAGGTCGCACACCTCTGGAGCAACTAGGGTTTAAGTGTCTTGTTCAGGGTCGAACTCGGATCTACTACACCAAAGGTATGTACCTAAAATGTAATTAAAATGTATGTAATGCAAATGTAAAGTGGGCTACCTAAATTCACAAAAATGTGAAGTTGTTTGTTTTGTTATTTCGTTTTATTTACAAATTTGTACTTTTTTATTTGAAAGAGCCTGTCAAACCATCTTTCATAAACATTTTGCTTGTGCTATGAAGCTCCAGCCTTATTTTGACCCATTTTAGCTACTCCACCCTACAAGTTAAAAGAAATTAGAAAACAACAAAACTAATCAAAACAAATACATATAATATCATATAATTGAATTTTTTCATTATTGCTTAGATTTTCTGCTTTTTTTTTAAATTAAATCTATAAATGTCACAAATACTTTCTTGTGACTTCCCAACTTTTAGCACTAGATGCCCTTACAGCACAACTGAGAGTAGAAAACAATAGAATACATAAATATTACATTCGTAGGGCATGAAACAGAACAGTAATGAACAAAAGAAAATTTAAGTGTGACTTTCTCTTTTTGAACCAAGTGGAAGTTCAGTTAGATTTTAGAGATAAATACACTCAGAAAGTGACGCAGAGGCACATGATTAAAGGATGTGACTCATTTTCCTGGAGCTGAGTTTATGTTTACTACAACACTGGTTAGTCCTGTTTTGCATGTTTGCACCTTTATACACCGCCCAAGGTTTCTTTGTTATTATTGAGTTATATAAATACCAGTAATCTGCATGTCCGTCATGCTGAAACACGTTTGGTGAGAAATTATATGCTTTTAATTATGTTGCAGCAAAAATATGTCAATGAATTCAATAGAGAAGCATTTTTCTTGGTGAATGATTTGTTTAATTTCACAGCACACGTGGACTTACATCAGATGATATACAGTATATGGCTGTGCTGGTGAAATAAAACTTGTTGCACTAAAGACACATTTCAAAACAATCTCAAACAAATTCAACCTAAAAAAAGAGGAGATTTTGGTAATGCACATTTGTTTCTTCTTCTATTTACAGCAATTTACATTTTCTTATTGTGCAAATAAAAACCTTTCTCAAAGCATTTTCATTTGTTTTTAACATTTCTTGTTGCTATTTTTCAGAACATTTTTAACAAATGCTTTCAAATAGTGATGGGGACAAAATCAGCCATTTCAAAAAGTGTTGGGGACATGTCTCCTGTGTCCCCAGTGTAAATGACACCTATGACTGCTATACATTTATTAGGTAACCCACGGTCGAGATTATCTTTTTTGATTTTCTTTCATTACAGACAGACTGACTAACCATATTTAGACACTAAGTGAATCTCTGTAGGTCTAAGAAGGATAAATATCCCCAGACAGGAAGTATCCTTAAGACGTGCTTGCATTTGATGTGTTCACATTCGTTGTATTCTGGCACTTTATCTCAAGAATTCAAGGTAATTTAATTATCATTTTACACTTCTGCTGCATAGCAGACAATAAACAGTTAATATACAATACAACAATTATAAAAAGAGAAATAAACCATCATCAGTGGAGCAGTGCTGAGGATGAATCAGAGTTTAAGAGTCTGATAGCTGGGGGGAAAAGCTGCTCTGCAGTCTGGTGGTGCGGCAGCAGAAACTTCTATACTGTATCTGTTCCCAGAAGGCAGCAGGGTGAACAGGCTGTGGCTGGGTGGGTACTGTCCTTTAGGATCCTTTGGGCTCTGCAGGCAACTCAATCACACAATCCACAATGAGAGAGAGTCTAAGACAAAAAAAGGCGGTGAGCTTTACAGCTCCCAACAACACAAGGCCCAGGTGTAGCTCATGTCAGCTGATGACCTCCTCCCAGACCCACAGAAGGACACAGGACACCTCGTGGCTGGGAGGGGTCATCACACTCCTTTTTCCTAAAATCAGCGATCAGCCGGGCTCATTAAACCATGCTATGTAAATCTCTGAAACTTCTTCATCACACCTGAACCTGGCTCACAATATTTTCACAACACAATGGACTTGGCTTTGACTGTTATCAAACAAATTTGTCTCAATGAATTAAAAGCAGTACCGCTTTTTCTCATAACTAATGGCATTATTATTGGTTAATAAATAATTTACTATTGACAATCAGTCATAAAGTCATGCATTATAAGTCTGCAAGTGTGAGTCTTTTATTGTAGTAATGGTAGTATGTGTGCGTGTGTGTGTGTGTGTGTGTGTGTGTGTGTGTGTGAAAGAGACAGAGAGGAGGGAGGAAAGGAAGTTCTGGTTTTGAATTTTCACAATAAAACCTTTAGTAATGGTAGTCTCATGACAGTAAATAATAACAGGACACAGAGAAAACAGTTTAACTTGCCAAAGCATAATGCAAGTAAATAACTTCAATAAAATATATGTAAGTAAGGTAAGTAAAGTAATGTAAGTATAAGTGGAAATGCACAACAGTGTATTCACAGGTCGTGGTATATAAGCCTACTACATAGTTTTCCCAAACCTCTAGGACTTACTGATTCTTTTAAATGAGGCATGAAACAATTTTTTTTTTACACCTTATGGGGGCTGATTATCTGCTGTGTGAATGTGTTGTTGGTTACTAAAGTTTCTGTCTTGTTTCAGATTCCTTCATTATTAAAGTAGAACAAAATTGAGTGCAATCCTGACGTTGCATTCCCACATAATTAAACACATGAGATAACAAAAGAAAAAATATGAAAGGTTTGAGCCAAAGAAAAATAAAGGTTATAAATACACATACACAAAAAATATAAAGTATGTAAATGACTAAATCTGTAAAAGCAGATTTCACTCATTTAAATAGCTTTAAGGCTTAAACACACAGGCCAAAGTAACACACTGATGACAAGAAGCAGCAATGTTTAGTCAAAGACATATAGCAGCAGTCAGTCCTAGAGGCTTGGTAAATTAGAGATAAATCTATCACACATATATTTATAAAATTACATTTTTCTGCTCTGCTTTTTCTGCTGTAGGACTGCTGCAGTTTAAATGCCTACTGCACAGCTGTCACTAGCCATGTCACAAGATTTTCTCTGCTCTGGACGATCCACTGTTATTTGCATTTTGCTTATAAACACAGTTATAGTGAAAATAAATCCCTGGACCTCACTTTGAGAACCATTTGTCTACATCACCGAGCCCAACTCTAAATATTGGTTTTGGTCGAAAAGTCTTTTTTGCTTAGGAAGGTTCCTTACTGAATGAAATGGCCCGGAAGTCTTTAAGTGGCCCGTCATGATAAGAGCTGGTTGAATTCTCTAAAAGCTTTGGAAAGGTGCCTAAATGCTACCTTTCTTACTTCCTTTAGGGAACACTGGACCATCCTTTACAAAAGGAAAGGTGATAAAGCCGTCTCACAAGTCCTTGCGGCTGCAAGTGCAGTTGTAGACTGCACTGAAATTTTTATAATATATTTTTTATAAAATAATAATTTTTTTGATTATTTTAATGGCTCATTTTTAAAAATTATTTTTATTAATTTCAACATTCCAGTCCTATCTGTTTTGTTTTTATTTTTAACAACCATCTGTTTTGTTGTTACTTCCTAGATTACTTGATGGTTAAATGTACCCTGCGGATACGCTGAAAATATCCTTTCTTAGTAGGTGTGTTTCTGTGATGGACAGGTAACCTTACTTTTTTGTAAAGTATTGAGTTTGTTGCTGTATTTATCTTCCACGTCTAATATAAAGTTGTTGTTTTTTTTGTTAAAAAAAGCCTAGAATAAGTGCAGTGGGATTCTCTGAGCTCCTCAGTTATGGCAAGCCGTTTTAACATTTATTGCTTAAAACTTACTAGTCGCTTTTTAAAAGTTAATAATAATTTGGCTATTTATTAGTTACTAGTAGCTAAAAATTAGTACTACTATCTAATCAAATGTTACTAGTAAAACAGGAATAGTTACTAATAAATAATTTGCCTAGTCTAATAGTAGTTTTTAAATAGTAAATTTTAAAGAAAAAATGTTAAAACTGCTTGCCATACCTCGGTCGTCTTTTCCTAAGTCCTTATGAATTCTAATTGACATCTTTCTTTGCCCTCAAGACGTTTTTCGAGTTCAAGGTGTTAAAGGATTTCTTTTTTTGTCTTTTCGACCGCAGTCATCTGTCACTGAATTTACCCGTTTTATTTTGAAATGCGTACCGGATGTAGGTACACTTCACACTGCAGACTCGCTCCGGACTAGCAGCTCAGCGGACATCGGAGACGACGCCAAACCCCACTGAGGTTTTGTTCACTTTAACGAGTCCGCTGCCGAAGGAA